ACATAAATAAAATCCTAAACCAATTAAGTATCTGCAAGCTGTTTTCAGTTAACTTAACATATTTAACTAAATAATCATTAAATTTGATCCACTCTTCCTGATACTCCTCCTCCTTCTGGTTGCGGACTCTTCCGGTTAGGTTGGCTAGCTCCAAAAAATCAATCATCTTCATTTGCCATTCTTCTATCGTTGGTAATTCTTGGGTTTTCCACTTTTTAGCTAACAAAATACGAGCAGCAGTTGTGGCATACAAAAATAATTTAACATCTTTCTTGGGCAATTCCAAACCTGTTATTCCAAGAAGAAAGGCCTCTGGTTTCTTTATAAATGTATATTTCAATATTTTTTTCAATTCATTATAAATCTTTTCAAGGGCTACCATTTTCAGTTAACTTCTAATGTTGACTCCTATATAATAATTTCCTCTCTTCCAAGGATTGCATGCTAGATTTAAACTTTTGGATAAATCCAAGCAGAGCCTGATAGGGAAAGGCTGCAAGCTGCTGCCTTGTTTCGAGCCTCTCTGGACAAGAGCTCTGTTCAGCTAAAAAGCCTGCTAGTTTAACACTACTGAGACAAGTGCTTATAATAAATAAGGTAAAAAAGTAAAGGTAAAGGACCCCTGGATGGTTAAGTCCAGTCAAAGGCAACTATGGGGTGCAGCACTCACCTCGCTTTTCAGGCCGAGGGAGCCGATGTTTGTCCGCAGACAGCTTTCTGGGTCATGTGGCCAGCATGACTAAACTGCTTCTTGTGCAATGGGACACCATGACGGAAACCAGAGCGCACGGAAACACTGTTTACCTTTCTGCCGTAGCAGTACCTATTTATCTACTTGCACTGGTAGGCTTTGAACTGCTAGGTTGGCAGGAGCTGGGACAGAGCAACGGGAGCTCACCCTGTCGTGGGGATTCTAATTGCCAACCTTACAATTGGCAAGCCCAACAGGCTGTAGTTTAGACCACAGCGCCACCCACATCCGCTAAATACAATAAATATAAAAAATACCACCATAGCGACATATTTGTATACAGACTTCTAGGGTGGCAGCAAGACAAGGACTGCTGTGTACGGTGCCCAGAGTTGAATTAATTTGGTTTTGGGGTAGAGGAAGTTTGCATTAAAGCAGAAGTGGACACATACATTGCCAATTGTCACGCTAAGTGAGAAGCAACATTTACCCAGGGAAAAACATTTCCTAAAACTAGGAACGGCTGTGAGGAGCTGGGATTTGCATCTGTTTAAAGTATTAATATTTTACATAGCAGTTCTTGCTTTAGAGAAATTCAGTTCCCCTAAAGGCTCTGGGATAAGTTAACCATTATGAAGGTATTGCATCAATTGGGCCTACTTTGTACTCACACAACGTTCACATCACACACTGCATATATACTGTGGGGTTGCCGTGTGTGCTACTGTATCTTTGGTTCATATATGCATGAACTCTTTTCATCCTACCCAGCATGAGTGGGTGTGCTAAATCAATATGCTGGATTCATAACTCGCTCAGGTGTAAATGTCATATTACATAGTCCTGCTCCAGATTGACATGGGTGCTTGAGATGTGAGTTTCTCCCACATTTCCTTAGACTTGAAAGGAAGCAGGCTGTCAGAATGCTGCAGACAAAATACCTCTGCTGTCAGCTATTCAAAGGCTGCTCTGTGAATAAATAGAGTGGTTCAGGCTCCAGGGCAATCTAAGACATCAGTATTCATTAGCAGCAAATATTAAAATGTAAAGACTTCTAAGATTGGCTCTCCAAGGTGATTTATTTTTCACCAAGATGAAAGGGCTTTGAAAGGGTTGATGTTTTCAGCAGGATTATAGACACCCGAGTTTTAAAACAAAAAATATAGCATAGCACATATCAGTTTAGCTCTTGGGCCCAATGTATGAAGCAAAATATTATTTGTGTTGAATTACCTCACTAAGGAGCTATTCTGACACACAGTAGTTCCATTATGTGGATAATCATCTAATGTGCTTCTAGCAGATAGTGTTTTGTGTTTTGCAACAATAAATACTGGAGATGATATGTATGCATTGCTTATATTTTTGTCCCATCCACTGGGGTTCAGGGGCTCGGGGTAGTGCAGATTTGCCCCCCCCCCCATTTTCTCTTCACATCCAAGAGATGAGGTCAAGAGATAGCAACTGGTCCAAGTTCACAAATAGAGATTCATGTTTCATGTTTCTGTTAGCAATAGGTGGGCTCCCATGTTGCAGAATGGCTCAGAGCAAACCAAGCTATTCCCCACCTCAAAAAATGAGGAAACAGTTCAACATAAGCCTATACAATCTAAATCAATTTGGACCGTGCCAAGCCAACAGACCCCATAGTCTGATGGACTTTAAAACTTCTTCTGACTCGTTCTTTTCCCCTCCCACCCTCTTGCTTTGCTATTGTTCTGGTAGCAAACAGGAGAAAGGAAAGAAGGAAAGTTGTTTCTCAGTTGGGCACCTGCAAGGTACAGAGAACTCCCTCCTTTTTGCTGTTTCCCACATACTATGCCAGAGCATCAATCTTGGGATATGGGTGTCTGGATGGTGGATAGCAGGAATTGTGTGATGAGTATATTAGAGAGAGAAGGAACTGCATTTTTCTCCAGCTTAGAGTCAGAGAATAATCAATGTTCACCTGTTTAAATGGTAAAAGTCCCTGAAATCAAAATTTCTGAGCCACAAAACACAAGTCTCAGCGGCATCTCAGCCTTCACTCTATCCATTACACCACACTGGCTTCCATTGATAACTGGTGGCATATAATTGCCAGTGTCCATATATGAAAATATTTGGGCATCACTGAATATCCCATCAACCATGGTAGTTATAACTACTATTAGCAAATTATTATTCATATAAGGCCTTAGTTCTTCATGGGTTCGAACTCTGTTTGCCTTCAAGTCATTGCTGGGTTTATCATGCCCTGGGAAATCCACTGCTTAATAATTTGCCTAGGGTGGTAAGAGAAAACAAGTTGCAGAGATCCATCCATCCATGCCTAGAGACAGATGTTTCCATCATTCTACTGGTAAGGATATATTCTGTTAATATAGAAATTATGATGTAAACTCACCCTGTACCACTCATTTGAAAAACAAGTACAATGGTACCTCTGGTTACATACGCTTCAGGTTACAGACTCCGCCACCCCTTGGGTTAAGAACTTTGCTTCAGGATGAGAACAAAAATCATGCTCCGGCGACATGGCAGCAGCAGGAGGCCCCATTAGCTAAAGTGGTGCTTCAGTTTAAGAACAGTTTCAGGTTAAGAACGGACCGCTGGAACGAATTAAGTACTTAACCTGAGGTACCACTGTAATGGCAATCAGCAGGCTCCAATGTAAACATCAGTGGAAATGCCCAAACTACTACAAAGGACCAGAAGCCTATGCACAAGCCTCATTGAATGGCCACTTCATGGCCAGATTATTTATCTGAACCTCCACTCCAAATGGGAGACTGTTGCAATCAGGTTGAAAATGTATGATGATCCTCAGCTAGGATTATATGGCTTGTTTGTGACAGAATGAATTGTGTTTCTATTAAATATGGATTTTCATTTGTGAAAATGATCACCTAACAGCACTCTTAACTAGAACTTTAAAACAGCTAAATTAACTTTTAGAGTGTGAAACTCGGGTAGTTCTTATTCCCTTAATCTTCTTATCCAGCAGATAACTATCCCACTGAAAAACAGTGTTCAAACTCCTAAACAGAGGAATCAAATTAAAATTGTACTCTTTCCCCATCTCATTCTAGCTCTTCTGCTCTCCTTGATGGTGCTATCCATCAAGAGCAAGCTATCTCAGGATGGATCATAAGCCTTGTGTAATGTAATTACAGACTTTAAAGCATTGCATTACACAGCATGAAATGAATTGGCAACTCTACGCCTTATGATCCAACTGACTAATGATTGAGTAGTACAATTATAGGGTGGGGTGGGGAATGGAAACCAGGCACAGTATACCACAGCCCAGTTACTCAAGGAAGTAAAGTGAGTTCAATGAGTAGCAAAGGCACTCAAGACAACAGTGGTAGTTCATGGAGGAGTGGTGTAATACACTGTCACACCAAGTAACAACCGAGGGGCAGAGGAACCCTTTCACCATACCCCTATTCCAGCATGCATTGCTGGAAGGTAGAGTAACACCATCTCAGTGCACAATTGGTGAAATGTTGCCTGTGTGTGCAGCTTGTCATTCACCAATTGTGTGCCACTCCAGCAATCTTCAGCTTGTAAGGGTATGGGCACATCTTTCTCGTTGCTAATGACAGCAGCGAAGTACTACATTCCTTTAACACTACCCTGTTACCAGTGAACAGTCATGGGTTTTTTGTTTGGATATAAACTTACCCAAAATAAACTAATGTTGGTTGCACCTACCAGAGCTCCCATCAGCACAGATCTAAGATGCCTCAGAAAAAAGAGCCCATCATCTTAAGGTTTTGAAGAGGATTGCTAAACCAATGGAATTTGTTGTCACTTGGAAAACTTGAGTTACATATGGGAACACTAGGATAAGTGGCTTCATATACTGAAGTATGACTTTATTTGGTAATACCTATGACATACAACTTTGGTTGATTAGTCCAATTCTTGTTGCCTTCACCTAGAACCCACTTTTAACCCAAATGTCTATTTGAAGACCCATTTCTTAATCTCTTGACATGATGACAGTGCGCCTGCTGTGACACACCTTGAATCAGATTACGACCCACTAGTGGTTTCTGACTCATTAGCTGAAGGTCAGGAATACAGATGGCAGAAGCAACAGTGAAAAGCACACTGCCTCCGTCCCGCTCCTCATCCAGCTGTCAAACAAACTACACAGGTTTGCTTGTGTTTTGGTACTGGCCAAGCACCAGCCAGATGAAGTGGATGAGCTTTAATATTACCATGACTCAAAGCCTTGATTCTTTAAAATGATTTGATTAATGGGGAATAGATTAATCTGCAACACACCCAATTGTCCTCCCACTGTAGAGTCACACGCTTATTTCAGTAAGAAAAAATAACACTTTATTTGCAAAATAAAAGTAATTACATAGTGATATAAATAAACTGACATGTACAAATAATCTATGTAAATCCCACAAGATATATTTCTGCTCAAACACTTCAATGTCAAAGTGGGCCACCAAAGCTATCTACAGAAGCCAGAGGTTCTAAAGTCTGGCTTGGAAATAAATGGTGAAATCTGTGTTTTCATACATGAAGCTTCATTTATTCTTTTTTCTACTAACAAACATAGTTGAGTAGGAAAACTACTGAGAGCCTCAAAGTCTGACCTTTCAACATTTCTCTAGAGAAGAACACACCTCATTTTAAAGGCATTACTTTCATGGTTAACACTATGTAAAGCATAAGGCCTACTTTTAATCTCATTCCTTTAGATCAAATGCAAATTTGTGTTGAAAGCTCCTATGGATTTAGAATAACACTCTTAAGAAGGACAGGATACAGCTAAGCCTTGATGCTTAATGTGGAGGCAAATCTATACAACAGAGAATGCAAGAGGACATTTAACACTTCTCTTACACTGAAATGCAATTTCACACATAAGCTCCATTTACACAGGCACACTGACTTACTGAGCACCATTCCTTAGCTTCTTTTAAACTTGAACACATTAATGTTCAACTCTGGCAACAGAAAAAGAAGTACTGTCAAGATGTAAGCATCACAGTATCAAAGCAATGGAAAGCAGGATTCTCTTGGATGGTGAAATGCTTTGACAACCAGACTATCCAACACTTTTACTGAAACCAAGCTACCCTTTCAAAAAGAAAAAAGGGAGGAAGAACAAACAAAGCACAGCATTGTTAATCATGGTTTCTCCAAGTTCATTGCAGGTGCCCTTCCCTCTGAATTCGAAGGCGCTCCTTCTCCACTTGCAAACGTTCTTTTTCGATTTGCAATTTCTCTGATTCAAACTTCAAGAACTGCAGCCTCTCCTTCTCGAGCTGTAAGCGCTCCTTTTCAATTTTTAGTTTTTCAGTTTCTAGATCCAGAGGTTGCAAGGCAGGTTTTTCTGACTGGCTGGGGTCATTTTCCAGCACAGGTTTCTCAGCATGCAAAGCCTCAAGCCTCAGTTTCTCTCGCTCTATTTGTAACCTCTCCTTTTCCAGTTGAAGCCTCTCATGCTCCAGGTCAATGTGTCGTAACCGCTCTTTTTCGATCTGCAGGCGCTCCTTCTCCACTTGCAGGCGTTCTGCTTCTATATCCAGTCGCTGTTTCTCTAACTCCAGCTTCTGTTTTTCAAGGCTAATCAGCAGATGAGAATCTTCATAGGCCAGCCTAGCTTGAGCAGAGCTTAGATTGCCAAACTCTTCGATGTGAGTGAAATCAGGAAGGTCACTTTCCTTTTTAGAATCTGGCAACACTGAGGACAGAATCTCCTCTTCTTCCTCGATAGGAAACTAAGAAAATCAATTAGCAATTTAATGATGTTCTGCACTAGGTAAAGATACACCTATCAGCTGTAGGAAAGGCAAGGCAGAAACTTTATATAGCTTCTGAGAGAGGCCCTCAGACTAAGATTTTTGTGAGCCTTTGGAAGAGCACATTAAGATCTCACCTACATGTTTCATTGTTATCCAAACTTTGTGCAGATTGAGCAATGGACAGAGCAATCCTATCTTGGGGTGGGGCCCTGTGGTGTTCTGCTACTTCCTAAACCTGCTGGCCCTTTTTAGGGACAGGTCTAATGGACAAGAGGTCTGAGGATATTGCAGCTCTTTAGCTACCCTGACTTGCCCTGTTGAGGTCTCACCACTGGCATAAGACTGTTGGCATAACATCTATGCCTGCAGAGTTTTCCTCATGGGGGCTCCAATGCCATAAATGCCATCCTGCCAGCAGGCCTTTGAGTGGCACTTACACTGCTTCCAATGACCCATCAGAGGGCCTTCAGTCAGCTTTTAGTATAAGGTTACCAGATTTTTTTCAATGAACCCAGGGACACTTTTCAACTTCAATGGATTTTGTATGGGGACTGATTTGTAAATCCAGGGACTGTCCCTGGGAACAGGGACGTCTGGTAACCTTATTTTAGTATTGCTCTGTAAAGGTGATTTCGCTTCAAATCTAGGAGACAACAGAGTGAGTTGTCACTAAGGATTGGAAATTATACAGTAGCTGAGCTAGGAAATCTTACAGAAGGGAAGCATACAAATAAAATATACTTACCATGCAGGAACTACTTACTTCAAAACTCTGTGGATCCTCCTCCTCTTCTTCCACTTTTATTTCTGTTAATGATCCACCTGCTTCTCTGAAGTCTGTAATATTCTGCCATTCAAAACCAGCTTCAGTTGGAAATCCAATTTTCTCATCAATATCTTCGTTGAGAGAATCATCCAAATCAGATGATGGAAGGTGAAAGCCAGCACCCACAAGCTTTATGTTGGTATTAAGTCGCTTCCGTTTCATAAGGGCCCTCCAATCGAGGTATCACCTTTTGACTTCTGTCCCTGTCCTTTGCTCTCCTTCACCAACAGCATTAACACATTCTGCTATTTCCTCCCAAGCCTTCCGCTTCATCTCATTAATGGTTGTATTTAATTGTTTAGAAAAAAGCACTTCTCTCCTTTTTCGGATTTCTTTAAGTAGAGTTTGAGTTTCCTGAACACTAAAATTGCTTTTCCTTTTCCTTTTTAGCTGTTTCATCTTCTTCAGCTTTCAATGTACTTCTTCCTGTAGCAGACAAGAGATTAGTGATTTGCTATGTTCCTTAACAATCACCCCGCAATTCAGCTTGTTCCTGCAGTGAGATCTTGTTTCAGTAGTTCAGCTTTTCCTCTTATCTTTCATAAATGCAAAGAGCCAAGAAAGTAAATGCCATCGAGAAATATGCAAAGACTGAATTTTAACCAATGAACTAAAATCAGCTCAATTAAATAAAAATAAAAGCATCTAATAAAGGAACAAAAGGGGAGGAAACCTTAGAGGTTTAGACAAGACAACCAATTGTGTAATAATATTTATTGAGATAGTATGGAAGATACTATTGGTTTCTCTTCGAAATAAGTGTTAGTGGGTGCTATTCGTAAAAAAGATATAGTACTTCAAAGACATCAGGCAATCAATTGTCTAATGTGAATCTTTGAGGTATCCAGTTTTTATTTATAGAATGCAAAAGCCACCAGATTTCACAAGATGTGGCAATGCTCACTGGCCTAGATGCCTTTAAAGGGGGATTAGTCAATATCAATGACAGGTTTATCAATGGCTTATTCACCACAACAACTAAGGGAAACTTCCAGGTAGCTTACTTTTAAATACCATTTCCTGTGGTATATAAATACCTGGTTTTGGGACAGGAGGGAAAGTCCATTGCCTTCATTACCTGGTTTTGGGCTTCCCAGAAGCACTTGGTAAAACACTGTAGAAAACAAGATGCTGGACTACATGGTTCTTTGGCTTTATCCCGAAAGGTTATTCTACTGTTCTTAACTTCCATATGCCAGTTGCAAATGTGGCAATAGCCTGCTCTGAAATGTGTACATTTGTGTGACTGTACAATTCAAGTTTGCTTCTTAAAAGCTCTTTCCCATTTTGACAATCACTGAGGAGAAAAATCTGTTTAAAAGCTAAGGACCAAATGATCTATGGGAAAAACTTTTATTTTTAAATTTATAAAACCTTTCTCCTGGTATTGTTATGCTTTCTTCCAAAAAAAATACCCATGCTTTTGATTTTTAGAAATTAAGAGAGGTTAATTCAGAAGCAGAGACAGATGCTGCATATATAGAGATGAGCTATTTCCACATCCTGTTGAAGCTTATTAGAATTCCACCCCTCGCCCCAAATGCAGCTCCTTGTATTCCATTTTCTATCATGAATTTTCTATCACAAGACCTTGGTGTCATAGTGGATAGTTCGAAGATGTTGACCTATTGTGCAGCAGCTGTGAAAAAGACAAATTCCATGCTAGGGATCATTAGGAAAGAAACTGAAAATAAAACTGCCAATGTAATGCTGTTATACAAATCTCTTGCACAAATGCATTTAGAATACTGTGCAGAGTTTTGGCTGCCTCAATCTTTTTTCTATCCATTCATGTTCTTCACTCTATCCTCTCTTTAATTGCAAAACTAAAGACTGACTTCACAGCCTTTCCTCAAAACCAAAATGTACCTTTTCCAGATCTACAACAGCCAATGAAAACTGAAAAGTCTGTACACACATTATGTAAAAGCTTTACATCTTTCCAAGGAGCTGTCCACAGCAATTCCAGCACCTCTCTCTTGGGTAGCAACAACTAATATAGAACACAATGTTCTGTAAATATATCTGGTGTTCCTTTTCTAGTATAGTCCACCTGTCAATATTGAATGTCATCAACAAGTTTTATTTCCAACTTGTTTATGCTGCAAGATCCAACCATAATCTTCACAGTTTACCTTTATCCCACTACCAATAGTCTATTGATCAGTGTGCAAATACCAATAATTTATCCTGTACACTTACAGAGGGATGCATCAAAGAAACCTGAGAATAAACTGATGATGCCAATGAAGTCTGGCAATCCCAGATTTTAACCTTGGGTTTAGGGAAAGTGTAATTCATGGATCCATTTTGGATTGCATCTCAGATTGCCCTGGTCAAATCGGTTGAATTATTTTTTTTTCAGACATCTAGAAGAGGGATGAGCAGTCTGTACCTCTTAGCTTCATTTAATGTGGCTGGCAAGAAGGTGGTAAATGGGGCTAACAGTGAGAGAGAAGTGTGGTACCTTGCCTACTTTGGGCTCCAGCTCTATCCTTCACCCACATATAAACCACTCAGCCAATTACCCCCAAGGAATGTGGCCCTGAAGGTCATCAGCTGCAGGAGAATGCCTGACTGAGCAGGAGAATCTAGTGGTTCCATATGATTTCAGGAGTAGGTTGTGGCAAAGGACTGCACCTTGTCCATGCACCTTCAGTGTTAACTACATCACACAGACTTCTTTGTAAACAGAACCAGGCAGGTTTTTCTTCTCTATGAGTTAATTTACTCTCCAAATGATTACAAGAGGCAGTAAGGGCTGCAGCTGATACTGTTGTGAAGAACACTGAATAACAGGTGATCAGCAATACTATCCTATGTTGTGAATATGATCAGACAGGTGGGGAAAGCACATGATATATATTTTAAGTGCCTGAGGGGGAAGAGAAAGCACAACATCCATCCTGTATGAACTACCCTTCTTCGCCATACAATGCCTGGGCTTTGATCAGCTTATGTTCATATCATGTCCAGCACAATCCTAACCCCACTCAATAAGTCGCACTGAGATCAATTCCTGTTTCCTATGTTAGCTGACTGCATGACACTTATAAAGTGGTTTTTTTTTCTATATAAAAAAGAGATGCTGGAACTTCACCACCTTTTTTTAGGGGAAGCACCCAGCCAAAGTTGTTGAGCAACAGAGAGCCTTTGTATGATTGAAACAGGGTGCCCAGAGGAGAATGTTTTGAAAATAACTCTGGGTGCCATTGATCAGTTAGTCGCCACCTCACCATAGCCCTAATGGCCAACTTTCTCCATAAACTTGTGATGCAACCACTAAGTTTCAATCTACTTTTAAAGAACACCCTTTAAAAAAAACCCACCTCATTGTAAGGAGAAAACAAGCACTGTGGGTGAGAGTTTGGCCCAGAACCTATTGTGCAATTTCCCATCTTGCAGCAGTTTACAAACAGGTATGTAGGAATAATTCGAAAAAAGGAATATGGGGGAGGAACAGGAAGATGAAAGAAGCAGATAAGGTATCAGAGGGCAACCCTCCCCAGCTGCCCTAGGAAATGAACTCTTGCTCTCCAGCGGGGATGTTGCTTTAGCTTTCGAGTAGGCAGTCCTTGGTGCAGCCACCGTGTTTTATACATGTCGCACACCACTCCAACGGCTCTGGTAGGAAGAATGGAGATTTAAATCCAACAAAACATCAAAAACACAACGACAAGAGAGACGGCAGCATCCCTCACCAGGAGCGGCGCGGCCCATTCTACCACCTCGGGGCTCCTTCGGGGGACGAGGGAAATGAGGGGCCGCCGCGGTTCAGCTTCACACAAGACACACACACACACCCCGCCTTGAATTTGAACGTGTGGAGATGTTACGAAGCGTTGTCGGCGGCGAATATTCTCCTCGGTAAAGCGGGTGGGGCGCGGGGAGGCTGCGCACCTGGCGCCCCCCGGCCACGCCACGCGATGGCGGAAGAGGGGAAGGAAGCCCGTGAGGGAAACAGCGGCGGCGCGTGAACGGAGGCAGGGGTGGGAGAAGGCGGAGGAAAAGAGCCGAGCTTCCCCCCCACAGACACACACACCATAGCCAGGGAACTGGGATCTACCCCGGCGCTCCCTCACAGGCGGACGCGGCTCCTCCCCTTCCTTCCTTCCTCCCTCCCTCCCTCCTTCCCTCAGCAGCGCAAGAGCGACTCACCTGCGCGCACCGCTCCCCCTTCCAAACAGCCGGCCTTTTGACCCACCCCCACCCGCCTGCCGCGGCCGCCGGCAGGGCCGCCTGTCACTCACCCATCCACGCGGCGCTCCGATTGGACGGCGCCGCGCGCTCGCCACCCGCTCGCGCTCCCCAACGGTTCCAACCGCCTCCTTTCCCCAACTCGCGCAACTTTGCCCGCCACGCCCCTAGCGCCACGCCCCCACCCGCTAGCTCGCGCGCTCTCTCTCGCGTTCTGACCCGTCTCCCGCCTATTGGTCGCGGCGGCTGCTTGTCAACGAGCACGGCTTCCGTCATTGGTGGAGGAGGCGAAAAGAGGCGGTTCTTTTCGCGGCGCCTTCCGAGGAGAGGGAGAAAGGGCGGGTGAGGGGGCGCAGGCGAGGCGGCGGGTTGAGGAGGAGGGAGGGAAGTCGGTGGGCCTTCCCTAGGTACGGTCGCAGAGGCTAGTTCCAGATTATGAAAGGCCGGAGAGGAGTCGGTCTTCGCCCGTGTCAGTCCTCACCGAGACGGAAAGGGGCGGGCAAAAGGCGGTGGATCCCGTTTGCGATTTTTAGGATAGCGCTGTGGAAAGGCTTGGATCACCTCAGGGCGTGCGCAAGTTGCGCACCCCTGCCCGCTGCGTTGCCGCCTACCTGAGCGGCGCAACGGGGAGGGTTGGGTGCGATCCCCACTTCTGCAGCTCCAAAGAGCTTTATAAATTATAAACATGCTTTATAAATTAACAGCATTTTTTTTAAAAAAAATAATAGCTTCATGATGATTTCTTGGGTGCAAATATTTGTGTACACCACATTCGTAGTTTGCAAAGTAACCAGTTGTTGCTGGTGTTTGCATTTCCCTGCACACATCTGCTTCCATTGCAGCACGCACACCCCATCCCATATTGGCCGATGACATTTGCCTCCTACGATCCTCGGCAATGGAGAAGTCCCAAAGCTTTGCAGCATGTGCCGTGTTCGGGTGTTCAGTTTGCTCGTGTGTAAACGATCACTCAATTCGGGAGAGTAGTGGCAGGGGCATGGAGGAGACAGGGAAGAGCATCTGTCTTACAATACAGGAAGTCCCAAATTCAATCCCAGGTAGAATCTGGAGGGATTTCTTCTTGAAACTCTGGAGAGCTGCTGACAGTGAAGGAAGGTGAGGACAGGTGACCTCACCTAGGCCCGAAGTCACCCCCCACCAAAGCAGGCTCAAAGCTTCTCAAAACTTTTCAAAATCATTTTCTCAGCAGCTAAGCATCAGAAACATTCTGCTCTGCTGTAACAAAGGTAGAGAACAGTCCATTGTTTCTCAGGCCTTTCTCATGCCTTCTGGCCTTGCTAAAGAACCACATTGCAACTTACTTTCTGTCCGGGAACCATGCCAGAACAAGAGATTGAAACATATCTGAACACTCTGAAACCCCTTTCCTGGGAAGGGCGCCAAGAGTCCAAAATAGTTCCAAGACAGCTTTCTGTTCATGCTCAGAGGAACTCATGGGGCAGGACTCTGGAAGGAGGAGAAAGGAGGAGGGAACTGGAATGGGTATATAAACTCTGTGCACATGATTGTGAACTCGTGCATGCTTTTTGTGACTTATCACACTTGCTCCTTCTACCAGTTCATGGGTGGTAGAAATAAAAGCCTTTTCTCCGAAACTATTCCTTGAGTGTCTATTGACTCCCACTTCCCTTTCCCAGGCGCAATATTTTTCCCACCCGAGGGCAAAGCCTCATAAGGCTACAACAGTGCTGAGCAACGTGGGCCAAAGGTCTGACTTGGCAGCTTTGCGATGTGCTGGCTGCGAGCTGGGAAGACAACATCTTGGAGCCCCCCACCCTTACTGTGGGCAAGGTAGTAGCAGCAGGCCCAGGGTTCTGCAAGTCACATCCTCCAGAAAAAACACCAGAAAGAGGGAGGATGAACAAGTGGAGAATTCTCTGTAAAGAGCAACCACAATTTCTTCCTCTATTTCATCCTGGCCCAGCCCTCCTTACCCTGACAGCAACCTTGTGCAAAGAGAAGGCAAGCAAGGGGTTGGTAGACCCACCCCCTCAGAGGGAGGAGGCAGGAAAGTCTGATTTTAACAGTATCCCAAGGGTTGAAAATGGGATGCAGGTGGTCTAAACCACAGAGCCTTGGGCTTGCCGATCAGAAGGTCGGTGGTTCGAATCCCGTTGCTCGGTCCCTGCTCTTGCCAACCTAGCAGTTCAAAAGCACGTCAAAGTGCAAGTAGATAAATAGGTACCGCTCCAGTGGGAAGGTAAACGGTGTTTCCGTGCGCTGCTCTGGTTCGCCAGAAGTGGCTTAGTCTGCAGACAAACGCCAGCTCCCTTGGCCAGTAAAGCAAGATGAGTGCCGCAACCCCCGAGTCATCCGCGACTGGACTTAACGGTCAGGGGTCCCTTTACCATTGCCCTAAGGGTTGAAACCACCTGGAGCAGGAACCAGCAAGCCACTCCAGTATCCCTGCCAAGAAAGCTCCATGGACAAAGGCAACAGGCATATAAAAGTTATGACGCTGGAAGATGAGCCCCTCAGGTCGGAAGGCATCCAATATGCTACTGAGTACATATTGTACAAGTAGGTTCAGAGCTGATGAAGCGGCTGGGCCAAAGCCGAAAGGACGCTCAGTTGCGGATATGCCTGGAAGCGAAAGGATATTGCATAGGAACCTGGAATGTAAGAACCATGAACCTTGGTAAGTTGGATGTGGTCAAAAATGAGATGGCAAGAATAAATATTGACATCCTGGGCATCAGTGAACATCAGTGGACGGGAATGGGCGAATTCAGTTTGGATGACCATCATATCTACTACTGTGGGCAAGAATCCTGTAAAAGAAATGGAGTGGCCCTCATAGTCAACAAAAGAGTGGTGAAAGCTGTACTGGGATGCAATCTCAAAAATGAAAGAATGATCTCGATACGAATCCAAGGCAGACCTTTTAACATCACAGTAATCCAAGTTTATGCACCAACCACTGGTGCTGAAGAAACTGAAATTGACCAATCCTATGAAGACTTACAACGCCTTATAGAAATGACACCAAAGAAGGATGTTCTTCTCATTATAGGGCATTGGAATGCTAAAGTAGGGAGTCAAGAGATAAAAGGAACAACTGGCAAGTTTGGCCTTGGAATTCAAAACGAAGCAGAGCAAAGGCTAATAGAGTTCTGTCAAGAGAACAAGCTGGTCATCACAAACACTCTTTTCCAACAACACAAGAGATGACTCTACACATGGACATCGCCAGATGGGCAGCATCGAATTCAGATTGATTATATACTCTGCAGCCAAAGATGGAGAAGCTCTATGCAGTCGGCAAAAACAAGACCTGGAGCTGACTGTGGCTCAGATCATCAGCTTCTTATAGCAAAATTCCAGCTTAAACTGAAGAAAGTAGGAAAAACCACTGGGCCAATAAGATACAATCTAAGTCAAATCCCTTATGAATACACAGTGGAAGTGAGGAACAGGTTTAAGGATTTAGATTTGGTGGACAGAGTGCCTGAAGAACTATGGATGGAGGCTCGTAACATTATACAGGAGGCAGCAACTAAAACCATCCCAATGAAAAGGAAATGCAAGAAAGCAAAGTGGCTGTCCAACAAGGCCTTACAAATAGCGGGGGAGAGAAGGCAAGCAAAATGCGAGGGAGACAGTGAAAGATACAGGAAACTGAATGCAGGTTTCAAAAAAATAGCAAGGAGAGACAAGAAGGCCTTCTTAAACGAGCAATGCAAAGAAATAGAGGAAAACAATAGAATGGGAAAAATGAGAGATCTGTTCAAGAAAATTGGAGATATGAAAGGAACATTTCGTACAAAGATTACGATAACAAAAGACAAAAGTGGAAAGGACCTAACAGAAGCAGAAGACATCAAGAAGAGGTGGCAAGAATACACAGAGGAACTATACCAGAAAGAAATGGATGTCTCGTACACCCCAGGTAGTGTGATTGCTGACCTTGAGCCAGACATCCTGGAGAGTGAAGTCAAATTGGCCTTCGAAAGCACTGCTAATAACAAGGCCAGTGGAAGTGATGATATTCCAGCTGAACTATTTAAAATTTTAAAAGATGATGCTGTTAAGGTGCTACACTCAATATGCCAGCAAGTTTGGAAAACTCAGAAGTGGCCAGAGGATTGGAGAAGATCAGTCTACATCCCAATCCCAAAGAAGGGCAGTGCCAAAGAATGCTCCAACTACCGCACAATTGCACTCATTTCACACGCTAGCAAGGTTATGCTTAAAATTCTACAAGGCAGGCTTAAGCAGTATGTGGACCGAGAACTCCCAGAAGTGCAAGCTGGATTTTGAAGGGGCAGAGGAACCAGAGACCAAATTGCAAACATGCGCTGGATTATGGAGAAAGCTAGAGAGTTCCAGAAAGACATCTACTTCTGCTTCATTGACTATGCAAAAGCCTTTGACTGTGTCGACCACAGCAAACTATGGCAAGTTCTTAAAGAAATGGGAGTGCCTGATCACCTCATCTGTCTCCTGAGAAATCTCTACGTGGGACAAGAAGCTACAGTTAGAACTGGATATGGAACAACTGACTGGTTCAAAATTGGGAAAGGAGTACGGCAAGGCTGTATATTGTCTCCCTGCTTATTTAACTTATATGCAGAATTCATCATGTGAAAGGCTGGGCTGGATGAATCCCAAGCCGGAATTAAGATTGCCGGAAGAAATAACAACCTCAGATATGCAGATGACACAACCTTGATGGCAGAAAGTGAGGAGGAATTAAAGAACCTTTTAATGAGGGTGAAAGAGGAGAGCGCAAAATATGGTCTGAAGCTCAACATCAAAAAACAAAGATCATGGCCACTGGGCCCATCACCTCCTGGCAAATAGAAGGGGAAGAAATGGAGGCAGTGAGAGATTTTACTTTCTTGGGCTCCATGATCACGGCAGATGGTGACAGCAGTCACGAAATTAAAAGACGCCTGCTCCTTGGGAGAAAGGCGATGACAAACCTAGACAGCATCTTAAAAAGCAGAGACATCACCTTGCCAACAAAGGTCCGTATAGTTAAAACCATGGTTTTCCCAGTAGTGATGTATGGAAGTGAGAGCTGGACCATAAAGAAGGCTGATCGCCGAAGAATGGATGCTTTTGAATTATGGTGCTGGAGGAGACTCTTGAGAGTCCCATGGACTGCAAGAAGATCAAACCTATCCATTCTTAAGGAAATCAGCCCTGAGTGCTCACTGGAAGGACAGATCGTGAAGCTGAGGCTCCAATACTTTGGCCACCTCATGAGAAGAGAAGACTCCCTGGGAAAGATCCTGATGCTGGGAAAGATGGAGGGCACAAGGAGAAGGGGACGACAGAGGACGAGATGGTTGGACAGTGTTCTCGAAGCTACAAGCATGAGTCTGACCAAACTGCGGGAGGCAGTGGAAGACAGGAGTGCCTGGTGTGCTCTAGTCCATGGGGTCACGAAGAGTCGGACACGGCTAAACGACTAAACAAACAAAACAAAGGGTTGAAAAGCATTTTATAAGTGATCAACACTATCACTTCACTCAGTGCAGGCCAGAGATAGACGGTGAGCAAGCAGAGGGAGTGGCAGTGGCTGTCAAAGTTTCCTTATACTGGTCCTGGGCGTTAAATAGGAAGTTTTTAGAGTCCATACTTGTTTTGATGGTTCTATAGCTTTCCTAGGGTTTTAATGTAGATCTTTCACACACCATTTGGGGCTAAGAAGTGGGAATGCCATCAGGCAACATTTCTATGACTTCCAGAGCTTATATTATTCTTTTGAACATTGATCATAACTATTTCTCACCTTAGATTTTTACACCCCAATCCCAAATACATTTTCTTGAAAGTTTTGATTACAACTGAACTTACTTTCAGGTAAGTGTTAAAACAAGAGCTTAATCATTTATTCAGAAGGAAATCTCTGCAGCATTCATTCTTCATTGTAAGGAAAATGCTAAATTTAGGTATATGGAGGTGGTTCTTCATTGTGAGATAGAGCAGAAGCTTAACATACTAGTTCGACTGCTCAGTGTTTTTATTATGCAGATTAATGAACATTCCAGCACTCACACATGTACAGACATATTTCTGTCACTTCAAGTGGCTTGTAGCACAGTTACAAATACTTTAAATATTATTTCCTTCTGCATATCAACGGCTAACCAGGGACGTCACTTCCTTCAGGGATTTTGGGGATAATTACAGTCAAATGAACAAGAGCACTCCTGTGTCAAAATAAAGCCTTCCCCCCCACCTTCCTGCCTCAAAATGGCAGGTGCCCAGGATCCCCCCCCCAAGAGTAATGAAGCTAAAGTGAACCCCAGTGACACCTGTGGGGCCATTTCCTCTGGCAAAAAGTGAAGGCAACTGTGATTCAGATGATCCAGTAGGAAGCTCCAAGAGGTGGAGAAGAATCCAATGTGGCAGCAGGAAATTGCAGGAAGTTCAACAATTTTGCTCTGCACCCTAGAAACACCCTCACCCAACCTCAAAAACTGGGTGGAGTAAAAGTACCTCAGATGTAGAAGACTCAGAGCAGCAGCAGAAAGAGGTAGCAGCTAGTACTCTGGGAGCAGGGAGGAGTGCTTAGCAACATGTAGTGCTCAACTCTCAGGTGTGGTGGCCATTCTCTACCACTGATCAGTAGTGTTCAAGGAGGAGCAACAGGCACCGTTGCAGCAGGTGAGCTAGCTGGAAGGGACTGATCCTCTGCCTTCGTCTTCAGGGTGATAATACATGTCCCAAATTGAGGGGGTGGGCTGACGGGGACCCCTCACTTCAGGTGCCACAAGGGAGAAGGATAACAGTCCCACCTCCTCCAAGGACTGTAGATGGGGAGCTGGAATGTGCCTGAGTGCAATAATTTTGTGTGTGACAGCTCTCCAAATCACTGAGCCCTGGGTCTGCGAAGGGACTAAATATTTTGTCCCCGGGTGTGGGAATAGATTACAATTGCTAGGGTGCTGTGAGGAAAGCTATAATAATAGAACATGATTCAAACCACTTTGTGTAGATGTGCCCTTTCCCGTACTATGTGCTACAGCAAAATCTCTTTGAATGTCAGTTATTTAGCAATCATCATTTTTTCTGCCTTATCTAACCCTTTTCCTCAGGGTAATACTAACGTTTCCGTTAACATTTTTACAGCAAGGAGAACTAGATTGACTGTTCTGATTCCAATACCTTTATAGGTAGCAGACTTGGTCATAGGTGCCGTCTCGCACTGAAGATTGCTCCAGTGGACCTGGCAGAGGAGTGTAAAAGTGAAAATAAAAACCACAATGTATAAAAACAATGCATTACATTTTGACACTGACATTTGTGATACAGTAAACTAGTGACCAGTTAACAATAGTTCAATCAGGAAAAAACTACATATATTAAATGTTCATTAGGTCATGCCATATTTTACCTTTACTGATAATACAATACCAGAATAATAGAACTGTTTTGGTGTGGTTACATTTTTAGTGCAAATAAATTCATATATATTGGCATGCAACTCCTTTCTACATTATAATGTAGGCTGGGATCAGAAGAACTTCAACACTAGTTTCTCATGTCCAGCACACCCTAGTGATTGTGTTTCTTGAACAAGACATCTCCCCATGGCATACAGCAAATTACTTTTGAAACTTGAGTGGAGGGGACTTTCTAAAGCAGTTTGATATGTCATGAAGATCTTGATCTTCAAAGGTTGGAGGGAAGTAAAAATTCCACTAGACTTGCCCAAGTTCTTGGGCATGTCTAAAATACCTCTTTGGATCCCAGCCACTATCAGGTAAGACTACTAGATAATACGTACTCCTTAAAAGTGCATTTGTACAATTAATATTTTGGCGTCTAGTTTGTGTTTTGTGGTCCAGTTTTTGCAAGATGTTAAGCAAACACATCTTACAAAATGTTTACTCAGGAGTTAAGGCCCACTGAGCATGCATAGAAATGCAGCCTTAGAAAACTAGCTATATCCTTCTCTTATATCTAATGTATTGTAAGTACATGAGATGGATGACAGAAGTAGGTATGTGCAACTGGCATGCCCTTAATCAGCTTTATACAGATCATCAACCCAGTTGCAATTTAAGGAAGAATGAGGAAATGCAAAATTAGGATCCAAACAGTCATGAAAGATACTGCCTCAAAAATACAAGCTGTGCAGTATAATCCTTAACAGGTTCACTCTGGAGTAAATCTCACTGAATTCAAATGTACCTACTTCCAAGTAAATTTACACAGGCAATGAAACTTAATTTTAAATAAATATAAATTTTGGCCACCTTCCCCAATCTGGTTCCTCCAGAGATTTTGGGATCCAAACTCCCATCATCCCTAGTCAGCATGGGCAATGATCAGGGATGATGTGAGCTGTAGTCCAAAAAGATATGGAGGCATTCAAGTTGGGGAAATACAATTACACTGATCTATTATAATCCCTCTGATTTTACATCAGACTGACGAGATATAACCTGATGCAATAAGCACAAGTAAAACATTCCTATATTGCTTTGGACAAAGGAAATGAAAACATTGCTGCACACTTGCTACCACAAGCATAAGCATAAAGGTACTTTCTTGGGCTGTGTCTGTTACACAGACACAGAGAAAAGCACAGCCAACAGCATTGAAATGACAGACCAACTTAGGACCTATTAGTAACATCAACAAGCTACACCACTTGAGATACTGAATACTCAACTGAATCCACTACTATCTTTACTTAAGCCATTTTAGTCTATCAGTGAGTGCAGTTTTTTGCCTACTCAAAATGAGTAAATTTGCCTACTCCTATGAGTTCAATGAACATACTCCCAGGTGAACAGAGTATTGCAGCCCAAGTTAATAAAAGTTGTTTGTGAAAATTATTATGTGCAATGTTCGTATCAAAATAGTTGACATTTTATTTATTTATATCTAATAGAGAAAAATGCTAAATTAAGCTTAAAAAAAATTCAGAATTCAGTTACTTACAGCAAGCCTGCACATTTTTACTCAGAAGCCCATCTCACTGAATTCAATGGGGTGTGCTCCCTGGTAAACAGTTAAGCTAACATCCAGAAATCAACTAAATTTCAGCCTATTTTACTTTACTACATATTATGGAAAACTTCAACTTTTAGCTCCATTTTTTTTCTACTAGCAAAACTATGATTGATCCTGGTTACTCTTACTTTGGCCCTAAAAGTGCGTTAATCTGAAAACTTGGGCCAGGATATAAACTGCTCAATGTAATTTTTGACATTTTTTTCTTTGACCAGTTGACCCCAAATCATACTATAAATTGCTTTTCAACATATTGTAGGGTTGACTGGGGGAAAGGGGTGAAAAACCCTCACATCATCTACATTACTCTTGAGTTCACAAAGCTTCTGATTCTAGTTGTGGTCAATCCCTTTGGGGGGGGGGATTGCTACTGAAATTTAAAAAGAGGTGTTTGAATATATTCAAACATTCAATCAAGCCCTGCTCCTTATTAAAATAAAAAGTGGCTGCAAACCATGTTAGCGGATTGGGCCTCTAATATATGTGGCTTTTTGGCAAATGAAAAGCAAACAAAACCATAAAACTTGTGCAGTTTCTTATAAGTGATATATTGGACTACACTGCTATTGCAAACAACCATGGGTCCCTATATTTATTAAACTTAATCACCTGACAATAGAACTCAGTTAGGGCTCTTGGCATGGGTGAAACCTCCTCCCATTCAGACCTACTGCTATGGTAGACTTGTACTTCGTCAGTGATTTCATCAGGAGCATAATCTCCACCAAGGATGTAAATTTTATCTTCTATTCCAACTGCTCCTGCATTAAAACCAGCACATTCAAAAGACCCTTCCCCTTTCCAGACATATGTCTCTGGGCAAAAACTATAAACCTTGTAGGTGGAAAGGTCACAGATGTACAATGTGCAGTTCACTGGAACAGCTTTGATTAAGGTGGCGTGAAAGAACTGCCCAAATTCTGCTACCAGCTCAGACCACTGATCAGTTGCAGCATTATATTTAAAGAAACAATCAAGAGATGGGTTAAAGGCATCAGTAATTTCTACTTCAGAACCAAGCACATAAATTATATTCTGACATGCACTTGCTTCTGGATAATAGATACCTCTTGGTAAGGGACTCACAGATTTCCATTCCCCAGAGAGAGGACTGTATGCCTCCACATCCAAAAGACTTTTGATATCCTTAGATGCCCTTGTCTTCCCCCCTATTACAAACAGTTGATTTAGGGTCACAACAGATGCATGCATTGTCCTTGGCTTCTTCATGGCTGATACCGATGAGAAGCTGTCCTTCACTGGACAATAACACCAAGTTTGGTCAGTGGCATCATGATACGTTTCAGCAATATGAAGTCTAATTGTCCGGAAACAGTTCCCTACACACCCGCCAGTTATAAATAGCTTTTCACCATAACTAGATAAACTTGATCCGGGCAGATCTGTTATGTGCGTCTGCATCAGTTCTTTCCATTGATCGGTTTTAATATTGTAACAAAACGTATGTTGATGTACTCCGTCTTCCTCAGTTTTGTGAACAAGTATGTACTGTTCTGTTGTTGAAGGGCGAGCGTCTGGAAACAAACCACTAAAAGTTTGCACACTTTTAATTGCCTCATTGATTATTACTAAGCAACCAGCGCTTTCAAGTAGTTGTTCTTCGGAGTGCAATACTTCCTGCAACGTCTCCTCGGATAACTGATGCAACCGTATTTTTCTCATCAAGTGGGGAAGATGCTTCTGTCTTGTTTCTAAGTTATGTTTCGTCCACCAAAGGGCAGCTTTCAACACAGATTCCTCATCTGGGACATTGAGCTCATCTGCTTCTATACATTTTAGCAGTATCTCGAAATTCATTTCCAGAAAATCATCTGACTGGAGCAGCAAGGAAAAATGACGCTGGGCATATTTGAGGGTATGGTCAAACAACTGAGTGGACCCATAACTTTCGGAAATGGATAATAGCTGCAAACAGTTGACAAGATCAATGTTCTTAATTAGAAAGTCACTGCAAGCTTTCGAAAGAGTGGAAACTTGAAGAAAGGATGAAAGCTGAAATAACATTTCTACGTTATCGTTTGTTATCTCTGTTCTTCCAGTGTAGGCATAATCAAGAAATGCCTTCACTGCCTTGGGTGATAAATTACTAATAGTAACACTCCCATCATCTCTTTCTTTCATGTTAACTTCAAACATGGCCCTGCAGTTAAAATACAGAAGATGAACACACAATAAATCATCACTGATATCTGTTCCATCTGAATATAATGTAGAACCAAAACCACACAGCTTAAGGTGAAGGGAACTATTTTCAATAAACATCTTTTGGACATTTTAGGTAAATTATTTGTAGAGTGAATAAATGCAAAACTAATTTGACCAAACAGCGGGAGGCAGTGGAAGACAGAAGTGCCTGGCGTGCTCTGGTCCATGGGGTCACGAAGAGTCGGACACGACTAAACATCAACAACAACAATGCAGTATAAAGCACATTTAAGAAGAAGTAGGGTTTTTCTATGAGGTTTTCATTACTTTTAAATAGTTCGGCATGATAAATTCAGGCATCATTCCAATCAAGGTATGATGAGTGTATATCTTAAAACACAAATTAGATCAGTTCATAGAATAGGATCCAAACTACAGGCTTACCTAAGGCAAGTCCACTGGAATTTTTGGATTTGTGTTTTTTTTCTGTTAACAGCTACATCCACTCTCAGATTCAGATTGCTTAGAATCTTTAAATTCTTAAAAGCTCAGAGTGAGTAAAAGAGCATGATGTATTGCCATAGGATTTCTGTTTCTATACATCCAATTAGCCAATATGGAGCCCACCTGATGCTGTTGGGCTATAACTTCCATCACCCTTGACCAAGAAGTCAATGCGAGTTGCAGTTCCAACAACATAAGGTGGGCACAAACCAAGGTTCAATGGAAATGCAGCTCACCCTCCTGGAAGATAAGGGATACCCATATTAACAGTGTTCTTGTTTTCATATGCTGTAATTTCTATTATACCCAAAGTCTGGAATGTATTCCGGATGTATCTAGACCCGTTTTTGTTTCTGCTTCAACATCTTGTACCTGTTTTCTGTGATTTTTCTGTTTTATGCTTGAATTTGTATAATAAAATTAAAATTATTTGTACGTCTTCTCTGAGATCTTCAATACTCGACACTGTCAAACAGAGGATATGAGCCAAGCAATTTGATTTGAAATGCTATACTGTGTTGCATCAAACAACAACAAAAATACTCATTGAGAAACAGTTATTAAATATTCCTACAGATAAATAATTTTATTATTGATTAATGTAATCAATACATCCAGCAAAGGCGGTTTGCATACAGAAGTGGTATCTGTAGGTGCATGCCCTTCTGCATTGTGTTGAATTGGCTGCATATAACTTTTAAGGCAGATGGTAATGCACATCTCCACCTGAAACCTACATATGAAGTTGTACACAGTGAATGGGTTGAAGTCATGCTATCTAACAAAAACAAATAATTTTAAAATGATTTCACAGCCATTTCACAGCTGACTGGATCTACTTATCTACTTTTGAAGGTCAACATAGGATGAGAATTACTTCTATGTTTTGAGTAGGGGGGTTGTGAATTGAATAGAAGAATGAATTAACTACATCACATATGTAACAGTGATATATATATCCATTTATATCCATATATATCCATATCTATATCTATATATCTATGCACACAAGAACTACATCATAAATAGACTTACCTGAAAAAGTCACTACATGCTGCCAATACGCAACGGTGACATGGGATCACTTCATCTTTCACAAGTATTTTGAAGTCAAAAAAGTTGTTTTGATCTCTGAAGCTTTGCAGTACATTTAAGATTTGTTGGCCATGGCCTTCAGCCACCAAGGAGCTGGCTTTCTGCTCACGAGATGAAATTCCATTGCAAGTTGGGGTGCTAATGAAATCATATTGGTTGTCCATGGTATCTGCACTCTATTCTTATTGCTGAAGGAGATAATACAAACGTTAGACACACACCACAAAATTACTGACCAAAAATGACTTCATAGGTATGGTATGCTAGGTGTGGTGATCCAAGGAATCTTTATCCATATTGGGAAAGATGTATAAATATTTTAAATAATAAAAATAGATAGAAATGCCTCCAAATAATACATCACAGGTTGGAATCTCATTGGTAACTTGCCACCGGGTACACTTTCAAAGCAAGTGATGAAGAAATCCATGCACAGAATGATGCTTGTATGCTGGTTTGCAGTGAATATATTTCACTGTAACCACCATGAGTTCCTAAGGCTTAAATGTTTTAAGTGACTTTGTTACTAAAAAAATAAAAATAATCTGTGGTATAAACTGTAACTATTACTGCATTGCTTTATTTGTTTTTTTGAGGGAAAACAAGGTCCCAAAGAATTATACCCAAACCTTGCTATATATATAACTGATTCATATATCCAAACAGCTAGAGTTTGCCCACTTTCTTACTTGTTTGTGTTTTGCTGGTCAATGGTAGCCATTTTGGGCAGAAACCATGGGGGGTAAGGAGAGAGATCGAACAAATCAGTTTTTCCTCTTTGGCTTTTGCTGATTGGCTGCAGCAGTTTCAGGCAAAAAGCATGGAGGGAGAAAGCCTGGATTAGAAATGTTCCCACAGGAAATGATAGAAATAATCTGCTCGTTATGCAAACTTGTTACTCTGAGTAAAGGTTGAATACCATCCTAACAAATGTATTATGATACAAGCTTTCATGGAATATACAGTATGATCACATCTTACACGGGGTTGCATTCTGGGGATAGCATGTAAAGCCAGAATACCATATGGTCAATACAACCCTTTAAAAACCAGGTAAATGGCCCATACAAAGCACACCAGCATTTACCTGTGCACAGTGACCGTGTTGCTTAGTCTTCCTCATCCTCTTCAGGGCTTGAGGTTGCTCCAGGAGATGATGGGCCAGACCTGAGCAACAGATTGCGAGTTGCAGGCAAAGGGGTTGGCTCTGTTTCAGCTTCAGAAGTTGATTGTGTGGGCTCACTTGCTACCGCTGCGTTTTTTGTGAGAAACATGGTGCTTGGCAACTGTCGCTGTTGTCTCTTGAGCTGTTCAAACATTTCTCGATACAGTCTCAAACTGTCTGTGATACCCTGTGTGATTTTGAGGCTTCGTTCCATAGAGGGATCAAACTCAGCGATCAAATCATTCAGGTGTTTTGCTGTTTGGAAGACTTGAGCAAACTTATGCAGATTCCAACTTGCTGGCTCATCCTGTTCATCCTCCTCCTCTTCATCATCTGTACTTGATCTTAGCAGTTCCTCCAGCTCTTCATTAGTCAACGTTCCTCCATGGCCATCAATTAACTCTTCAACTTCTTCCTCAATGAGGTCAACAAAGCCATCACCACCCACTTGTCTGGCCATCTGGACAATATGTTCCACTTCATTGTCAATGGTTGGGAAACCCTTAAAGTCACCCACACATTCTTTCCACAACTTGCGCCAGCATGCATTCACCGATTCGGGCTTGATTGCATCGACTGCTTGCTTAATGTAAGTGATGCAAGTGGCCATGTTAAAGGACTTCCAGCACTCAATGACATCAGGGTTGGGATCAGTATCCATAGCGTTACGTATCCATGAGAAGGTTAGCCTTGTGTAAGTTGCCTTGAAGCACCGAATCACACCTTGGTCGAGAGGTTGGATGATGGAGGCCGTGTTGGGCGGGAGAAAGACAACTTCAACATCATTATGTGCAAAGCAGAGTGCCTCGGGGTGACCAGGAGCATTGTCCACAATCAGCAACACCTTAAAGTTCAGTTGTTTCTCTTCAAGGTACCGCTTAACTTCCGGAACAAAGCAATTGTGGAACCAATCTTGAAACGTTGCTGCAGTTACCCAAGCCTTTTTATTGGATTGCCAAAACACAGGCAGGAGATTTTTGTTCTTGCCTTTCAGGGCACGGGGGACTGCAGACCTGTACAGCAAGCCTGGCTTTATTAAGTGCCCAGCTGCACTGCCACAGAGCAACACAGTCACACGGTCGTTAGCTGCTTTGAAGCCAGGGGCTTGTTTTTCTGATTTGGAGATGTACGTCCGCTCAGGCATTTTTTTCCAGAACAGCCCCGTCTCAACAGCATTAAAAACTTGCTCAGGAAGGTATCCCTTTTCGTCTAGCAGTTCCTTTAATTGCTTGGGGTAGGCTTTTGCTGCCTCTTTGTCTGCAGGTGTAGACGCTTCACCAGTTGCGTGCACATTTTTCAGTTTGAAGCGCTTCCTAAAACTAGTAAGCCAACCGTGACTGGCTTTGAATTCCTTCACAGGCTGCCCATCCTCGGCAGAAGGTTTGAAGAGTGCATAGAGGCTGAGAGCCTTTTGCTGTAACATCACGCCATCAGTAGGCACGCGTTTGCGGTTCATGTCTTCAAGCCACAAGTTTAATGCCTTCTCAGTCTTTGCTAAAGCCTTGTCGTGCACCTGGCTTGTCACCTGAGCAGTTATTGGAGCACTTGCTGCCACAATGTCACGGATTTCTCTCTCTCGAACCTTGATGGCATGGACGCTCGATTCACTGTAACCATATTTGCGTGCCACACTAGAGACCGACACGCCATCTCTCAAACAGTCCAGCACCGCTACTTTTTCTTGCCGTGTTGGAACCAATCGTTGTTTCTTGTGTTGCACGCCAGCAGAGGGCCCTGGCTTGCGTTTGGGGGCCATGCTTTCTTAATCACCAAGGCTACTCTCAATCTCCAACTGCACCTCCACACATTCTCCAGCGCTGCTCGCACTGACTCCACCTCAGCACCCTTTCCCAAGCTGTACAATGATGAGTGGGATGTCGATGAGGTTTTTTTCCCTTTCCCACCCCCCCCCCCGCCACGGACATAAATTTGGAAACTGCCTATGTTAAATGTGCATAAGCCGTGATCGTACTGCAACTCACTTCATCAGACGCATAAAGTACTGTCCTCATTTACAGATGCATGTGTATGTACTGGATCGGTTGTGGGTGGGTGTGATTGTAAAAGTTGAGGAGAACATGCAGAGTCACTTAGGTCAAAAGGAAGTGCAGCAAATTGATTAACTGCGGTAATGCAGAGCATGCTTGACGACACGAACACCTTGGCATCGGTAAGCCACTTAGGATCAAAGGAAGCTGCAGGCCGCTGGTAAAATCGAGCTTGCTAGAACAAGCAACAGCTCTCCAGGGTTTCAGCCAGAGGACATTCCAAGCCCTACCTGGAGATGCTGTGGACTGAACCCACGACCTTCCGAATGCAAAGCAGAAAATCTGTCACTGAACTACAGCCTTTCCTCTTCCACATAAAAGGGCTGGGGGGGATCCACTATAATTGAAACTCTCTGCTGCTTTTCCTGCAAAAGGCCAACAAAACTGCCCTTCGGGAAACAGCAGCACTTATTCCTAGCATCATTCAGCTTGAATATCATCGCCTTACTGTCTATAGTAGCCCCGCCTTCGCAGCTGGGAGGAACGTCTGAGAACAACTAAGGGCACACGCTACGTAACAGCTTCAGTGGCTGTTCTGCGCATGCCCCGCGCGCATGCTCATCACCAGAGACGCCAATCTAAAACACGGCCCGTTCTATAGATCTTTCCCTTTTACCTCAGACAACCCAGTTCAAGCTGCCAGGCTGGCGAGTTTAACACCCCTCGTTAGGAATGCGCCGCCTATAACCCAGCGGAGGCCTTCCATTCCGTGGTTTCCCCCTCGGTGCGCGCCGCTAACCACCCACCTGCATCCAGCGCAGCCACTCGGGGACCATCCTCGACTCCCGACATCTGCAAAAGCCGACGCTGTCCTCCCATTGGCTCTTCCTGCTGCCCATCGATCGCGTCCTGTGTTATGAGTGGCGCAAGTCCGTGTCGCTAAAAAAGCGCAAAAGCCCGCCTCCTCGTAACAGCCGGTGCCGCCGACGTTGTCAAGAGCGGGGACCGCCCCCCACTCCCAAGAGTCCTGAGCTCGATGAAAACAAAGAGACACTTCAGGTTATCAATTGAAAGTGAGCGTCGGGGAGGGGGGAAGCAATGTTAATAATATAGGACAGGGCTCTATAAGGTATGTGGAGATGCAGATTCTCCCCCCGCTTCGTCCCCTATTCTATGCAATGCTGTTGCCTCGCATGCGGCTGCTGTGAAGCAGAACTCAGAATGAGCACCGCGCGCAAACTCCCTTTTCTTTCTTGTTATACCTCTATGTACTCTCCGGAGGGAGATTGTGATTGGTCTGTCGTGTTTTGCATTTGGCTCCCGATTGGCTGCTGCGTTTCCTCTCACTCTCTAACCTCCGCGAGTCCCTCCCTCCCTCCTCTTTTTTGAACCTTCAGCAAAGCAGAGGAGAGAGTGAGCCGCGCGCACTGCGGAGCTTATTGCTCCATTGCCCCTCAAGTTTTGCTGCTGCAGTTCTGCAGCGCGGACTGCTTCGCCTGATTACTCGGAAGCAAGCCCTGTTGAGTCCAACGGGGCTTCCTGCAGCCTTGCAGTCTCCTGGCTTAAAAAGTTTTGGGTGCAATCCTAAACCACGCCTATACTCTAAAGTAAGCCCCGTTGAATTCAGTGAGGCTTACTCCCAGGTAAGTGGGGTTAAGAATTGCAGCCATAGGCTAGAGCATCTCTACGCCCAGTGCCCAGCACTTCGGATGTTAGAGTCCAGGCAGCCCCGTTCCCTCCTGGAAGCAGCAGCGCTATTTCTCCCCAGGAGAGCAACGCGTTCTCCCCTCTCCTTAAAAAAAACCTGCCTCGATTGCTAGCAAAAGAAGGGAAACAATTTGTCTATTCGTGTACATTTTGGTGCATTGTCAGCTGCAATCTCTTTAAATAATAATAATAATATTATTATTTATAATATTATTATTTATAATAATAATATTATTATTATTACTCTGGGGGGCTTCCAACAAAACACTAAAATACAATAGCCTATTAAACATTAAAAGCTTCCCTAAACAGGGCTGCCTTTAGATGTCTTCTCAAAGTTTGGTAGTTATTTTTCTCTTTGACATCTGGTGGGCGGGTGTTCCACAGGGCAGGCGCCACTACCGAGAAGGCCCTCTGCCTGTTTCCTTGTAACTTTAATGCCAAGAGGAGCAGGTTTTGAAAACTGCAAGGGGTCAACTTGAAATCTAGTCCTTGAGAGAAGACTTTTGGGATGCATTTGCATTTAAATCCTTTATTCCCTTTCCTCAGTAGTTCCTAATCCTAAACACACCTGATTGGAAGTAAGCCCCACTAAATTGAATGGGGCTTACAGAATTGCAAACTGGGCAGAGGAGGCATTTGTTTACTCTGGAGAAAAGACAGAGCATCGTTCTATTTATATGATTCTGATCCTGCCCCTTCCTTCAATGACCTCACATGCATTCACAACAACCCTGCGAGAGACTGAAAGATGGTCATTTATGCAACATCCTAACTTGAGTGGGGATTTGAACTCAGAACTCACTAGCCCAAGAGTTCTGTCAGCCTCCTATTTCTCTCCTCATTCTGCCACGTGTGTTCCCCTCGGGCTGACATTTTAAAACATATGTTCCGGTGTGCTGTGGCTTCCTTGGAGCGTCTTGCTATGGAGAGAGTACGTTGGGCCTTTTCCTATGGCACCTGGGTCCCTCGCCGTGAGGATTGGTTGCTGTCCATGTGTGTCGTACAGCCTGAAGAGAGAGAGCGCATCGAACAGTTTGTCTTCCGTCGCGATGCCAAGGCTGCAGTGGTATATACATATATTTATGCTCTTATTTTAAGATATACTTTGCTGAGATAAATATCTCTCATCTCCTAGTTGTTATTTTAGCATAAAGATGGTGTTTCTAGACAAAGACTTTTGCAAGTGAGAGATGCATTGAACCAATAGAGTCTGCCCAGTCTCCTATGCTGATAACTGCTATAATAATAATAATAATTTATTATTTATACCCCACCCATCTGGCTGAGTTTCCCCAGCCACTCTGGGTGGCTTCCAATTAAGTTTTAAAAACAATACAGCATTAAATATTAAAAACTTCCCTAAATAGGGCTGCCTTCAGATGTCTTTTAAAGATAAGATAGCTGCTTATTTACTTCACATCTGAAGGGAGGGCATTCCACAGGGCGGGTGCCACTACCGAGAAGGCCCTCTGTCTGGTTCCCTGTAACCTCACTTCTCGCAATGAGGGAACCGCCAGAAGGCCCTTGGTGCTGGATCTCAGCGCCAAACTGCACATCAGCAAAGCGTTGGCTCCAGGGTTTGGGGCGTTGGGGCCTTCATTGAGTTTCCTTAAATGGATGATTCTTTTAGCCTGCTTTTGATCTTCAATACTTGCAAAATGAAAATGACTGGGTGGTGGGTCCTCTCTTGCCTATTGCCACTCTCTAGAGCAGGGGTTGGGAACTGTTTTCAGCCCCAAGGCCAACATTCCCTTATAGGCAGCTTTCTGGGGGCCGAAATCAGTGGTGGTCAGGGCCAGAAGCAGATGCTGGCAGAGCAAAGAATGCTTAATTTTGCCTTCACACATAAAAGAGATCATGGAATCATAGTTGGAAGGGACCATCTAGTCCAAGCCCTTGCAACGCAGGAATCTTTTGCCCAACGTGGGGCTGGAACCCACAACTCTGAGATGGAGTCTCATGCTCTACAGACTGAGCTATCCAGTTTGCTAGTTTCTACAAAAACTGAAACACTCCTCTCTGTATCCTCCATCCAGACAAGCAGGAGCGAATATCAGAGTTCAAGGACGCATTCCAGCCTGGCAAAAATACTCAAGGAGGGTACGAAGTAAGCCCAGTGAGGGCTTTGGCCTGGGGAAAGGGGTTTGGCCTGGAGAGCATTCTGAGGGCCAGATAGATCCCTGGAGGGCCACATTCAGCCCTTAAATTTAAGTTTCTCTAGCCCTGTCCCAGTGGCCAACCCCCACTTGGCTATATCAAAAGGATGCAGAAGAGACTAACCATCTCTTTCCATCATCATTCTTATTTTTTAAATTAAATTTGGTGGTCGATTTATCTTGCCCGGGGGCAGCACAAAGTGACTTACAACCCACCGACCAAACAGACGGGCAAACCCTCCCACAAAGGTATATTAAAATCAAGAGGAAATAGAAATACATTAAAACCCCCCACCCACTTTTTCCTTTCTCCTCCTGTGATGAGGCTGCATTTTAATATTTTATTTTTTCAATATTTTAATGTTGTATTTTAATCTTGTTTTCAAGTTGTATTCATTCAACTTGTTTTTATTATTGCTTGTTAGCCGCCCTGAGCCCGGCCTTGGCTGGGGAGGGCAGGGTATAAATAAAAATTATTATTATTATTAATTAAAGGCCAAAGGCCTGGTTACAAGGGTAATTTTTTGCGTAGAGATATATAATGATGGCTCCAGGGGAGCCTCATCTTGGTTGGGACCAGCTGTCATTTAGCTCCTCTCCTCCCAGAACTGCCCCTACAATGGTCTCCTGGTCGTTTTATAACTTTATTATGTAACGGAATAAAAGAGTTGAAAGGAGGAGGAGACGACATAGATGCCAGGCTCTTCAGTGGCATCCATGCATGCCCTGTAAAGTCTAGTTCCAGCCGACGTTTTAAAATAAATGAAATGTAAATCGGCTTGAGTCACTGCAGAACTGTGTGGTTTGATCCATTCTAATCAGCTCTGTAGGCAGATGTGAAAATGGGATTTCTGTTTGCTGCTTATATTATCTCCTGTGCTATAGGTGGTGCTGGTGCTCAGCGGAGAATATATGAGTGCAATCTTTCTAATACTTTTTTTAAATCATAAAAATAGCCCTGGGAGGGGTGTGTGGAGTGCAAACCCACTGCTAAATCATAGAGAGCAATGCCTATGAGTTCCTCATTAAATGCATCATTTGAAAATGTAATAAAAGTGAACCATTTCCTGACAAACTAAGGACCAGCCATTGGTTTCTCCTGCTCATGTGTATAGACAGTAAGTTCCATCATTGCTACCGTTCTATTTCAGTGTATTAATTAGAGCAGCTTTCCCAACCTGGTTCCCTCCAGATATTTCCATCATTCCCTGTCAGCATGGCTGTGGGAGTTGCAGTCCGAAGCATATGGGGGCTGGGTTGGAGGGTTTAGGATGGATGAGAGAGACATGGGTTTAAGCCAAGCCTACCTCTCAGGGTTGCTGTGAGTATAAAGTAGGACAGCCCCTGTTTCCGTCTGTCTTGCAGGAAGAGTGGAATACACACACACACACACACAGTGGTACCTCGGGTTAGAAACGCTTCAGGTTACAAACTCCGCTAACCCAGAAATATTACCTCGGGTTAAGACCTTTGCTTCAGGATAAGAACAGAAATCGTGTGGCGGCGGGAGGCCCCATTAGCTAAAGTGGTGCTTCAGGTTAAGAACGGACCTCCAGGGTTTCTGTTCTTATCCTAAAGCAAAGTTCTTAACCCGAGGTAATATTTCTGGGTTAGTGGAATCTGTAACCTGAAGCGTCTGTAACCTGAGGTACCACTGTGTGTGGGGGGGTGTGGGGGTGTGTGTGTATATGTATATATATATATATATATATATATATATATATCTGTATGTATAAATACCCCTCAAATGTATATGTGTGTGTGTGCATTATTATTCTGTTCTGTTCTATTCTATTCTATATTCTATTATTATATTATAAAGTAGCTGTAATATTTGGCCCAACTTGTAGTAGTAGTAGTAATAAAATTTTATTTATATCCCGCCCTCCCCAGCCGAAGCCGGGCTCAGAGCTGCTAACAACAGTAAAAATAACACAGTTTACATAAAATCACAATCAATTAATTGAAATCCATTCTAAAATTAATTCATTCTAAAATCAATTCAGAATCAAATTAATGGCAACCATTGGGCTAGAGTTCTATGAGGATTACCAAAGGTGTGTTTTAATTCTGTTCTTAAAAGCATATATAGCATAGCTGTGCTCTATAATGAACTGTCAAAACATTTTTGAAGGCAAATGGTATCTTAATATATTCACCCCCTTCCCCCCCCCTTTTACATAGAACAGTTACTTGCTGTGCGTTATTTGTTCATTTTGCCTCATAGGCTGGCCGGCTGCTGATAAGAAAATTAATTGCAGAGAAGCTGAAGATTCCTTGGAATGAAATAAAGTTACAAAGGACTTCAAAAGGCAAACCTGTCCTTGCAAATGACTTAAGCAGTGCCCATTCCAGCTTCAGCTTTAATGTCTCCCATCAAGGGAATTATGCTGTTCTTGCCGCCGAGCCTGACTGTCAAGCTGGCATTGACATTACGAAGACGAGCATGCCAGGTAGTGTACTATAGTCACTCTTAAAAAAAAAATTAATAATCTACAGTGTCCTAGGACAGGAAAGAGAAGCCACTTTGCTCATTTATTGCAACACACGCTGTAGAGGGATTTTTGAGGTGCCAGCGATTGGCTGAGCTTTCCTTCGTTCACAGTCTCTGACTGACATTGGCTGAATTGTTCCAATCTTAGAAATGGAGGAATAATAATAATAATTTATATTTGTACCCCGCCCATCTGGCTGGGTTTCCCCAGCTACTCTGGGCGGCTTCCACAAAGACCAAAAATACACTAAGATGTCACACATTAAAAACTTCCCTGAACAGGGCTGCCTTCAGATGTCTTCTGAATGTCAGTTGTTTATCTCTTTGACATCTGATGGGAGAGCGTTCCACAGGGTGGGCGCCACTACTAAGAAGGCCCTCTGCCTGGTTCCCTGTAGCTTTGCTTCTCGCAGTGAGGGAACCGCCAGAAGGCCCTCAGCTCTGGACCTCAGCGTCCGGGCAGAACGATGGGGGTGGAGACGCTCCTTCAGGTATACTGGGCCGAGGCCATTTAGGTCAACACCAACACTTTGAATTGTGCTCGGAAACATACTGGGAGCCAATGTAGGTCTTTCAAGACTGGTGTTATGTGGTCTCGGCGGCCACCCCCAGTCACCAGTCTAGCTGCCGCATTCTGGATTAGTTGTAGTTTCCGGGTCACCTTCAAAGGTAGCCCCACGCAGTGCATTGCAGTAGTCCAAGCGGGAGATAACTAGAGCATGCACCACTCTGGCAAGACAGTCCACGGGCAGGTAGGGTCTCAGCCTGCGTATCAGGTGGAGTTGGTAGACAGCTGCCCGGATACAGAATTGACCTGCGCCTCCATGGACAGCTGTGAGTCCAAAATGACTCCCAGGCTGCGCACCTGGTCCTTCAGGGGCACGGTTACCCCATTCAGGATCAGGGAGTCTTCCACACCTGCCCGCCTCCTGTCCCCCCAAAACAGTACTTCTGTCTTGTCAGGATTCAACCTCAATCCATTAGCCTTGGTATAAGGAAGCTGCCTTATACCAAGCCAGACCATCAGTTCATCTGGCTCAACATTGCCCACAACACTGTGTGGCAGTTGCTGTCCAAGGTTTCAGGAGGGAATCTTACCCAAGGAGATGCCAATGAGACCTTCGGCATGTTTCTAATTTTGTTTGATATGTTTTTATTGAATGTATGCATGTACGTATTGTTACAGAAGTTGGGCGCCACCCCCAGTGGGTTCCAGGCGCTCACCCAGGGTTTGTTCTGCTTTGGAGAATTGAAGACGTGGTGGAGATTATAGTAGCTTTAAGAAATATGATTTATTCACATATTCACACCTTCAGTCTGTGTGGAGGGAGTCCAGATCTTACAGCAGGCATCCCCAAACTCGGCCCTCCAGCTGTTTTGGGACTACAATCCCATCATCCCTGACCACTGATCCTGTTAGCTAGGGATGATGGGAGTTGTAGTCCCAAAACCGCTGGAGGGCCGAGTTTGGGGATGCCTGTCTTACAGCATGGTCATTTCAAGAGGGGCTGGTCCCCCACAGCCATGGAGTCAAAGGCATCTCTCCCACCCAGCCTGCAGCCAGCCTGCCCAAGATGGATCCCAGTCTTTGTTTGCCCCCTTCCTCTTCCCAGCACACCTTGCTCTAAAAACTCTCTTTTCTTGTCACCTCAAACACACACCCCATCACCATGGCAACCTCTGTCTGCCTAGGCCCAGTATTCCTCTCAGATGGGCCATCAACACTTTTTGTCACGTTAATACCTCTAACCTAGGTGGGGCCCTGGCTTGGAACAGAAGCTTAGCTTGTGTTTTTCCACTTGACTGCAATTTTCCCTTCAGTACTCCAAATATTCAAAATCCTGCCATTTATAATTTCTAGTGTTTAGTCCCTAACAGTATTTATTTGCCCATTTAAGGTATTTCTACCTCACCTTTGAGCTGAAAAAGCTGTGGTGTGGCAAATATCAGTACTAAGACGGTCCCTGGCAACAGGCTTATAATCTAAAAAGACATGACAGATGAGGGAAAAAAAGAAATGGCAGTGAAAAGTAATCTCAAGCACCAAGTTCTTAAAGTTCCTATAATACAGTTGTATATACCCTGCCTTGGGCTAAGCAATTCATGTAAACAAACAACCAAACTATACCAGTATGATTCTCTGGAAAATGAAAAGCTGGAGTGAAACCCCCCAATTCTGTGGAACGGTGTGTATGTGTCTTTTTCCTTCCAGAAAGGAAAGAGGCTTTATGTTCCAAAAACTAGAGTTACAAGGGATTTGTATTTTTCTTTATCTTAAGAGCAGCCACAGGGTGGCACTATTGATCTGTGGAAAATCTTTCCATCTGTTCCAATATTCCAATTGCAAAACATTAAGCACTTGCGGATGAAACCATCTGCAACATTTAAACCGCCACATTGAAAAGGGGATGCTCGTCATGATATGTGAAAACCATTTTGGCACCCAAATAACGCTATAATAACCAATCCATTTTCTCTTCTCTAAGAGCTGTATCTCTGTCAGGGAACGACTAGACATCTCTAACAGGAAATTCTCAGCACCTTTGCTATACTACAGCTTCCAGGATTCTTTGGGGCAAACCATGATAATCTAACTGGTATAGAGCAGGTATTTTTGTAGTGTAGATTTGTTCTTCAGACCAGGCTGCTTAATTACCGGTACTTAGTTTTGTCTTTACAGTGGTACCTCAGGTTAAGTACTTAATTTGTTCCGGACGTCCGTACTTAACCTGAAACTGTTCTTAATCTGAAGCACCACTTTAGCTAATGGAGCCTCCTGCTGCCGCTGCGCTGCTGCTGCACGATTTCTGTTCTCATCCTGAAGCAAAGTTCTTAACCTGAAGCACTATTTCTGGGTTAGCGGAGTCTGTAACCTGAAGCGTATTTAACCTTGAGGTACCACTGTATCTCTTTTTGGTGGGGGGTGGAGAAGTATAAGACATGCTAATTTTCCAGTGATTCTATACCGTTCTCGATGCCTCACCAACACTCAATAACTGCTTTTATTTACAGAGTGCTGGTAAGCTCCTGTGGAGATTGGTGATAATCTAGTGCCTTGCCTTATGCAAAGCTATAAGAAATCGAATCAGGAACCTAAAAATTCATTAAAAGTAAACTTTTTGGGTGAAACCCTCTAAAGCAGTATTTCCCAAATTTGGGTCTCCAGTTGTTTTTGAACTACAATTCCCATCATCCATGACCACTGGTCCTGCTAGCTAGGGATGATGGGAGTTGTAGTACCAAAACAGCTGGAGACCCAAGTTTGGGAAACACAGGTCTGAAGTAAGAGCTGCTTCATAATGTTTAAAAATCAGCAGGTACAGAAGACCACCAGGAAAGAGAAGCTTTAACTGCATTCTAAAAGGCAGGCTAAGATGGTGCAGAGATTTTTCTTGAATGGTCTGCGGCCATCAACTTCCAGCATCACCTTGAATGCTCCGGCTGCAGATGCAACACTATATCTCCCCTTCTGCAGAATTTTGGATTGCAGTCTAAAGGGATGAATGACCAAGGCCAGCTCTGATCATTAATGTCCTAGTGCCTGCCAGATTACTGTTACGTGCTGTCGGAGGGGCTGCCTTTGGTAACCTCAAAATCTGCTCTGCAAGGTTAGGTGAGATGGAGGCCCTGTGGATTTCTGTTGCAAAAGCAACTGCACGTCCCAAGCACTATTTGAGTCCTCTAAATTGTGGCGAGAGTTGAGCACGGGGGCTGCTTGCCTCCATTGAGTCCAACGCAACTTAAAAGTAACTAACATGGAGAAAATAATGTAAATGGCTTTCCGGTGCTTAAATGTTGCTCCGTACAGAGAAGAGTTATCTGCATCTGTATAATATGCATGCTGCCATTTCCATTCACTTTTTGATTAATGGGCTTTTCAAGGTTCTGCTGTGAAAAAGCTGATAATGGAAGCAGAAAGTATTTTCCTAGGGGAGAGAGAGAGAAAGAAATTTCGACTCAGCTCTAAACAGCTTGCTTATCTAGCATGCTACTGTTGTAATAGCCTTGCCTAAGGAGCACAGGAAGCTGGCGTCATGCAAGCCAGTGTAAATTAAGCCGGAGTAAAGATAGGGATGCGGGTGGCACTGTGGGTTAAAACCACAGAGCCTAGGACTTGCTGATCAGAAGGTTGGCGGTTCAAATCCCCGTAACGGGGTGAGCTCCTGTTGCTCAATCCCAGCTCCTGCCCACCTAGCAGTTCAAAAGCATGTCAAGGTGCAAGTAGATAAATAGGTACCACTCCGGCAGGGAGGTAAACGGCATTTCCGTGTTTGACAGAAGCGGCTTAGTCATGCTGGCCACATGACCCGGAAGCTGTACGCCGGCTCCCTCAGCCAATAAAGCAAGTTGAGCGCCGCAACCCCAGAGTCGGCCATGACCATACCTAATGGGGCCCGTTTACCTTAAAGATAAACCAGAGCCAAATTCCGATCAGCAGTGAGGCTACAGCTGGATGAGCCAGCCTAAACGTGGCAGAGAGAAAGCAAGCCTTCAATATTGTGTTTGAGTTACACCACCCTTTTTGCTGGCTTAATTTATACCAGGTTGCCAGGTCATGTGACTCAGATGAACCAGTCTTAGGATCCAGCTTAAGTCCTCCCCGCCATGGTCTCACCCCTGCTGCAACCCCCCCCCCTTTTCAATGCTTACACTGGGCTGAAGATTTGCTGGGCTCGGCTCAGCCAGCTAGGTCCTGGCTGAGCCAGGATGAGAGAGATATACCAGCCAAGGAGGAGGGAGTTTCATCACTATAACCCAGCTGGATCCTAACCCATCCATCTTGCCAGATAGGATTGTTCCGTAAGTCCCTCTTTGGTGCAATTAAAGCATTTTACTTCCTATGGCTACTGCTGCTTTTTTATCTTATTTTATTTTGCATCATGATCCCACCAGCATATTCCATCAGAGGTCTAACTGGAGTATGGTGAACTCTTCAGTCACAGCATGAGAACGTTTCCAGGTTGTTGGTTTTTTGCATTCATTTATGGGAATAATTGCATTAAGATTATTTTCTGTGAGTGGCAGGGCATACAGAATATTATTTTTAGCTGTGAAGTGTGGCATGATGGAAAGTTTCGGGCTAGTGCTTGTTATCCTGATAATATTCAGCTGAACTTAGTTGGGGCAGTGGAGCTTAAAGTGCCTTACTGTATAGATTTCGAGGGAGGCCTCCACTGATACCATGCAGAGATATTTTAAATATATAGGAGTAGAGTAGAGAAAAGTGAAAGTCAGGCTCAGGCTTCTGTTGGGAAGATGGGAATGCAGTAGTGAAACTCTATGCCTGTTGAATTTCTGCCTGTTGTGCACTTGGAAATACTGCAGGACACCTGTCAAAAGGGAGGGGGGAAATAGCAGTGTCATGCCCTATTGCTTCTCAAAACTGCTCATGAACACCACCCTACCTGTAAGAATAATGTGCTGACAGGTTCTGCAGTGATTTATAGAATTCATGGCTGCATGCTAAGGACTGATACCTGGAATGCTCTGGATGGTATTTCCTTTTCTAAGCACTTGAGACATAGATACCTTTTGTGGTGTGTGTTTTTTTAAGATGTACTTCTGAAATGTGGGCCTAGAGCAAACCAGAAACCACACACCCCTCTCTTGGTGCCTTCAAAATACTCTTCATTTTTAGCCGTCATTAACATTAATGTTATCATTCGTCCTCAGGGCTTATCCTACCCCGTCAGTTAACAGTTATCATCTATCCCTTGCCAGGGGAAATCAATTAAAAATAAGTTAAAACTAATTTTACAACTGCTGACGCAAAGCTGGATTGTCTGCTCCCTGAAATGAACACTCTAGAGAGGGAGCGAAGTTCAGATACGATTCATTCAGAAGGAAATTAGACATGAAGATTCTAGCAGCCAATTATTCTCTTCCCAGACAAATCCCGGGCATGAATACTTGAAAGTTAAGTTCTGCTGTTTCACTGGGTCTTGTTCCCAGGTACATGTGCCTAGGATTCCTCCGTTTCAGAGATCTAAAGCCTTTATTTAGTGCCCCGGATGGTGATAATATTTGACTTATTCCCCCACCCCACATAAGAAAAAAAGCGTTTGTTGCTTTTCTGTTTGAGGGGAGATAAGAAACTGTTGCTTTCAATTATGAACATAAGGAGTATGAGCTGCACAACAGCTTTTTTAATCTATTCATAACAGATAAAACATTAATTATGTTTATGTTGCTAATGAGATATTTAGCAGCACAGTTGCTGAAAAGAATTTTTTCTGTCACTTCATCCCATGTTATAAATAGGTACCTCATGCCTAGGTTTTTTTTGTGACCCAGAAGTCTGTATCTAACCTGCAGGATAAAAGATAAATATGTTTGTTTGTTTTTTTTAAAAAAAAACACTCCGAAGATAAATTGTTAGCTTTTTATAAGTTTTATTTGAAATTAAAATAAAGTATTTATTATTCCTGTGAAGTTGCCCTCCCTCCCCCTACTCTGTTGCCTCTATAAAAGAATGCAGTTCAGAATTTTGGCACTAGGGGGCAGGGCAGAGGGGCAGGCTGTGGTGCTGAGGTCCACTAGTGGGTCTCAGGCCACTCTTTGAGAAAGACTGAAATAGCCCCTAATGGACATTCCTCGCTTTGAGGAAGCACATTTTTGAGATATCTTCCTTTGTTCAAACACTGCTTTCTCTGGAAATAAATATGGCAGAGAAATCTTGTCTTGTTCTCTGTGAAGTATAATTGTTTAAGTGCACACTGAAAAGGAGAATGATTGTTTATTGCTGAAAGGATTTAACATTGGAAAATTCCATTTTAGTATATACTAAGCTACAAGACAGCTCTCTCTGATCTTTAGTAGGATTGACCATTAACTGTTGCTGTTCTCTGCTGGTTTACACGTAAGTGTTTAACCTTAGATCATGTGATTAAGGTATTCAATTGCAAATCTCCATTTTGAAGGACGCCACAGAGAACAAAAGAATGTGATAATGAAGCCTCTCAAGGAGCTGCATAAACTTAGACTGGATGCAGGCTAATGCAAGCTATGGGAGAAACAGATAGTTGATTTTTACTCTGATCATAATTACATTATATATATATTTAAGAAGAACCTATGCTTGGATATGCATATGCCTTATGGAATTATCCCGCTGTATCTTTGATTGTTTCGTACTTGTTTTTGAAAAAGTTCTAGTTAGTAAAGCTTTGAATAATAATTATGGGTCTGGACCATTTTGTTTCCAAAAGGAATCAGCTTTTATGCATCCAGTATTAATATTTGCAATATTCTCATCCCATTTCCAAGAAAATCTATCATATTTGTAATGTAAAGATCTGCCAAAATTGTCAATATCCTTACTTTGAAACTGATGATGGCAGAACTTTGGGAGAACCTGTGGTCCTGTAGATATTGCTGGACTCCATCTCCCTCTATTCCTGACCATTGGCCATGCTCGCTGGGGTTGATGGGAGTTGGAGTCAGACAGCGTCTGGAGAGGTACATGTTTCTGCTGCAAGTTCTAATCTTTTACAAAATTTCATGGTATTTTATAGTTAATCAGATTCATTAACAAGGCAAGATGGCAAGAACTTGGCATTCCAAAGGAAAAGGTTGCTTCTGAAGTTGGCTTTTTAAATTCTCCTCTCTTTAAATGCAGTTGGTAGGATTGTAATTGTTGTTATTTTTTTTAAAAAAAAGGAGAGAGATGTCTTTTTTTCCAGATAATGAGCTTGCTAATAATTTCCCAGCTGCTCAGCTTTGTAAGCTAAAACCAGAAATCTACAAGGCCTTGCTTAATAATGAGTATACAGTGGTACCTTGGGTTACATACGCTTCAGATTACATACGCTTCAGGTTACAGACTCCGCTAACCCAGAAATAGTGCTTCAGGTTAAGAACTTTGCTTCAGGATGAGAATAGAAATCGTGCTCCGGCGGCGCGGCGGCAGCAGGAGGCCCCATTGGCTAAAGTGGTGCTTCAGGTTAAGAACAGTTTCAGGTTAGGAACGGACCTCCAGAACGAATTAAGTTCTTAATCCGAGGTACCACTGTATGCTATATGGTAATTTATGCACCTAATAGTATTTCCTGTTCACAGGATGTTTATGTTTTCTGTTGCTTTCGTTTCTCTCTGTGTGTCGTAGACACTAAAGCAGGCAGTCATGTTTTTCTGTGTTCTGATCAACACTGAATAAACTTGTAAATAATGCTCTCCTGAGTGCAACTTTTGGCTGTGCATTATCTGCTGATAGAGTGTGCATGAGCTCTGGAATGTGGCAAGCTATCTCTAGAAACTCATGTCACTAATTGCTGATACTGCGTGACTACGGGAGATCAATGGATCGTCCGGCAGCCGGCTTGGGGGCCATGATGGACTTTGTCTCCCTGGCAGTATCCCAACATCGTTTACATATTCTTTCACTTCTTCATATGGTTTCATTTTCCACTTACTTCCCTCTTTCTCAATTAAACTCCCATATGTTATCCACCTCCCATTCATATTGATCTTTTTAACACTCATCACCTCTAATGATGATAACCAGTGTGGTATTTTTGGTTCAAGTAGGTTTTTGTACCTACCCCATACCTCAATCAGAGATCCTCTAATAATATGATTTTCGAAACCTTTATGCACTTGTTTTTTTTCATACCATAAATATGCGTGCCAACCGAATCTATTATCATATCCTTCCAGATCTAACAAATCTGTATTTTCTAATTTCATCCATTCTTTCAGCCAACATGTGCACGATGCTTCATAATATAATCTCATATCTGGCAGGGTGAAGCCTCCCCTCCCTTTTAAATCTGTTAACAACTTAAATTTTATTCTTGGCTTCTTGCCCTGCCAGATATATCTTGAAATCACTTTTTGCCACTCTTTAAATATTGCAACTCCTTTAATTATTGGAATTGCTTGGAACAATTCTGGCAGGCCCCATTAGCTAAATGCGGCAGGCCCCATTAGCTAAAGTGGTACCTCAAGTTAAGAACAGTTTCAGGTTAAGAACGGACCTCCAGAACGAATTAAGTTCTTAATCCGAGGTACCACTGTATGCTATATGGTAATTTATGCACCTAGTAGGTATCTGAAGCCATTTGCACATAACAAATAAGAGCCTATACAACATAAAACACTGTTGCTGTATATAGGTTTTATTATTTGTTTTTAATCTTACATTTTGGAAATGTACATTGAGTTTGGGGGGGGGGAGAGAGTGGGGCCCTAAACTATAGCTTGTTTAGCTTATACGTAAATCCAGCACTGTACTGAATAGAGCAGAAAGTGGGCTTAGAGGAGGTTTGTTCCCTGTGGTATGTACACACCTGTGACTTTATTTTGTCCCACAACTGCTTATCAAAAGACTTTCCCCCTCAAGCTTTAAACTGAAAGTTGGAACACGTGAAACGTTTTTTCGTGGTCAAAGTAGGATGGATTATCATCGGCAGCCATCCCTCTTCCAAATTGCTATTTTATTTTCTGAAGGGGAAAAAGAACTGCTGAAAGCCTTAGCCTTCTATGTAAAAGGGAAACACTTTATTGAAATCTTTTGGCTTTTAGGGATAAGAAAGGTGACAATGTCATCAGCAATAAATTCCCCTTTGAATATGTGTCATCCTGTGATCTTGTGGGAAATCACTTGACCTTATGGCTATTGGCCTTTTTATTTATCCTTGTATAGAAAGCGCTTTTTTAGTTGAGATCAAGGCTTCTTAAATGCTTTTTGTAAAAACCGCCGCTCATACATTCACTGTAGCCCTTCCAAGAAGTTGCCTTTGTTGTCCTCCCCCGGTTTACAGCTCTCAGTTAAAAGTGTCTCAACTTGGATGAAAAAGCATTATATATCAATTTGTGCCTTTAAAATATGACCTTCTGTCTCTCTTCCCATCTCACTTGAAACAGGCATATCCAAGTGTGTTTGAATGCAGCACTTAAGGTTAAAAAATGCTGCTGGAAATATAAATAAGGGTCAGTTGAAAATTTGTACATTGTATTATAGTGCAACATTTCAGAGCTAAACATTTCAAAGCACCATTCACAGAATTAGACCACAACACCAGGCAAAGGGTTAAAACCCCTCAGTGATCTAGATAAGGTGCACCAGCAATTCATTAATTTTTTTAAAAAAACCATTCTCACAATCCCTTTTTAAAACAATAAGTTTTATTAGACTTTCTAGAGAAAAATACAAAGGTTAATATCAAATCTCTTTTCCCATTTTTATCTGAACTAAGACTTTGATCTAAATTCTGTTTTAAAAAAACAAACATGAAAAGGGGGGACAAAGGAGTAGAAAAAGATAAAGAAAAAGAAAAAAGAGTAGCAAAGAGGTTAAAAGAGAAAGATAGAAAAATAAAATTCAGAAAATAAAGAACTTAAAATCCTTCATTTGTCCTCTATATCTAAACAATATGCGCTTTGTCCAGTCCAACAAAGCCACTTTCTGCAAACAAACATCTTCAATCATCTAACCCAAATATCATTATTCCTTTTTTCTTTTTCATGCAAAAACTCCATGAGAGGTTTCCGTTCTTTAACAAACGTTAACAATGACTTTTCTGTAATTAAAGGTGTCAATTTCGCCGTCTCTGCTAAGTTCATTCGTTTTAACAGCCGTTCTTCCTTTGTTGCTAATAATGAGCCCTTCCATCTTTGTGCATATAAAAGTCTCACAGCCATAATCATATATTGTAACAAAGTTCCATAGTCCTTTTCTAACTGTATATCCATAATCCTCAGCAGGAAGAGTTCTGGCTTCAGTTGAAAATTCCATCCTCACTGACCTTGGCTCTCCAGATTAACGTGCAATTGACCATATGTGTAATACTCTGAATTGCCCCATTCCTTCAGTATGTTTGATGTTGCCCTTGCCTGAATTTGCAACTCCTCACCTAAGACAAGGATCAGAAACCTATGACCTTTCAGATGTTATTAGATTACAACAGGGGTCAGCAACATTTTTCAGCTGTGGGCCGGTCCACCGTCCCTCAGACCATGTGGGGGTTCGGACTATATTTTTTTTGGGGGGGGGGTGAACGAATTCCTATGCCCCAGAAATAACCCAGAGATGCATTTCAAATGAAAGCACACATTCTACTCATGTAAAAAAACCAGGCAGGCCCCACAAATAACCCAGAGATGCATTTTAAATAAAAGGACACATTCTACTCATGTAAAAACATGCTGATTCCTGGACCATCCACGGGCCGGATTGAGAAGGCGATTGGGCCGCATCCGGCCCCTGGGCCTTAAGTTGCCTACTCCTTGATTACAACTCCTATCATCTTTGGTGGTTGGCTTTGCTGGCTGGGGGGCTGTTGGGATTCGAAATCTAGCAGCATTAGGGCAGCCACGGTTGGCTTAAATTGTCTTTTTCTCCTCAATCTCCGTGGAAACACAACGAGCTGCCAGAGAGGGACAGAGCACAGAAGGTTCAGTCTCCACCATCTCTATTTTTATATATATATATATATATATATATATATATATATGAGATTTTTATTGGTTTTACATATAATCACCCCTCTTATTTTATCTCTTTGGCTCAACTGAGCCTAACGACTTCATTCCCTCCTGTCTGATGGTTTACAAAATTAAACTTTACATCTTTACATTCCACTTTACATTTCCTATCCTTGTTATATCATTACCTAATATATTATATTACTCAGCCTGAATAGGTAGCAACTTCATCTTGCAAATCTTCAGATAAGCCTGCTAATGATGATAATTGCTTGCAGTTGTCTTTCAAATATCATATAAATTTGTTCCAGATCCCCACCATCTCTAGACAGGGTTGGGACAGTCTCCCTTTCGAAAATCCTGGAGAGCTACTGCCACTCTGTGTAGACAGTACAGTGGTACCTCGTTTTACAGCCGCTTCAGGTTACAGACTCCACTAACCCAGAAATAGTACCTTGGGTTAAGAACTTTGCTTCAGGATGAGAACAGAAATTGTGTTCTGGTGGTGCGGCAGCAGTGGGAGGCCCCATTAGCTAAAGTGGTGCTTCAGGTTAAGAACAGTTTCAGGTTAAGAACGGACCTCCAGAACGAATTAAGTTCTTAACCTGAGGTACCACTGTACCTAAATGAACCAATGGTCTGGTTCAGAATAATCCCCACAGTCCCTAACAATCTTTTCCTCCCCCCAGTCATTTTGCTTTCTAATTGCAGGGAGCGGATCAATTCCGGACTTCTTTCGAATTATGAAGCGGCAGTTTACAGAGGAAGAGTGGAGAGCAATCAAGTCCATGAACAGCGAATGGCTTCAGTTGGATATGTTTCATAGGCACTGGGTAACTGACCATTTTTATTTTTAACCGTTCATCCGTAGTCCAGTCAACACAGCCCCTCTTCAAATATTTGAGTGGCTTTGTTTTGAATAACTTTAATTGAATCGTTTATATATTTGCTTTGAAAGCCTACAAAGAAGAATCGGAGGAGGGTTTTGTTTGGCCTGCATTTTGTAAAACAATTGTGTTTAAATGTATCAAATGTACAAAATGCCATAATGTTAATATATAACATAGAATGCACAATACAAATCTTAAATACTATAATGCACTATAATCATATTTCATACATCATTTCAATATTTGCTGCTATCATTAACAATCAGTCTTTATGTACCATCTCCTAAAATATATTTAATTAGTGGGGTGACATATTTTTCACTACTTCCAACACATCCATGGATTACATTTATCTTTCAGATTTCACACACCTCCTAATCTTAAATTACCGATCTCAACTTTAAAAAATGTACCAAAGTGCATTGAAAGTAGTATTTTAGGATGAAATACATTTAGAAATGTGTTCACCAAGTTAAAATACTATTTTGTGATAAAATATGTATTTTCATATGTATTTCTTTTTAAAAATTTTTTTTAATTAACTTTCTTAAATTTCTTCATCAACTACATAAGTTTCATACAATATTTTTCACAATAATGGTCATAATACATGCATATCATAAATGAAGACACAAACATTATTCATACAAATACCCACTTATTAAACTGTCAGTAAATATTAAATATTTTATAATTCATTAATCTGCTCTTTTGAAATTCTCATTATTACATTAAATATTAAATAAGAGAATATGAATTCCCTCCATCTTCCATTATTCCTCCTTTCTTACATATTGCTCTGCTAATTTCCAGTCTTCCCGTTTTCCTCTGTATCCCTCCACTTCTTTAATGTGATTGTTCATGTAATAATTGACATTTCTTCCCCTGTTTTTCTAATTACTTCTTTTCCAAACACAGCTTACATTTTTCTTCAGCATTTTAGCATTCACAATCCTTGTCAGGGTTGAATTATACAGTATTTTGAGTCCAGATTTATTTGCAATTCGGGGGGGGGGGAATTCACATAGTTTGGGAGACATAATAGAAAATATTCAGTTATTATCTCCTTAATTTTTTCATTTATAACTATTAGCACCGTCCTCCAATATTGCTTCACCCTTGCACACTCGCACCATGAATGGATACAGTCTCTCTTAATGTTATTACAGAACCACCATTTCTTCCTGTAGACAGGAATAATTCTTCAATTATTTGCTTTGTACAACATTGAAGCATTTCCCCTCTCATCTCTTCCCTGCCAAACAATTGATGGGCAGGTGGATTCCCCAATCCTGTTACAAGTCACCTTGCACTTTCTCGTCCCAAGAAAAGGCCCATGTATTGAGGTTTCTGGCTGGGGTTCCATTCCGATGTCATATAACCCCTGTTTTATTTATTACTTCTTCTTATTTATTTATTTATTGGGTTTATATACCGCCATCCATCATAAAATCTCAGGGCGGTTCACAGAATAAAATACAGGATGAAAACAAGCAAATAAGTAGAACAAGACAACAAAACAATAACACACTCACCCCTTCCCACTGACACATTTAAAAGGCAGTAGAATATTAATCAGGTTTGGTTGAGGAAGAACGTTTTCACCTGGTGACTAACACACACACACACACATATTATATATATATATATATATATATATATATATATATATATATATATATATTATATCTATAAAGGCACCCGGCGAACCTCCCTGGGGAGAGCATTCCACAGATGGGGAGCCACTGCAGAAAAGGCCTCAGACTATGAATGCAGAGTCTCGGACAGTTTATATGGGGAGAGGCTTTTTTTTCTAAAAAAATGTTTAGGGGTCCTCTTATTTTGACTTGAGAAAATCAAAACTTTATAGTTCAATTTGGGAAAAGTAAATATAGTAAATGGACAAAAGGCCGCCATCGGTGGTAGCAATGGAACTGACAAGTCCCTGTGCTGGGGAAGAAACGATATTTTTTTTAAAAAAAAAAAGTTTATTCTCCCATTAGATTCACAAAATGTTTAGGGGTATGTGTACCCCTGCACACGCACACCCCAGGAAAAAAGCACTGGGGAGAGGCATTGTGGTCCTGAGCTACACTGCTTGCCAGTTCATTTCCCGATTAAATTTGAGGTTTAAATTGGTGTTTAAAGCCCTAAGCATCTCTGGCTTGAAATATGTGAACAGTCACCTCCTTCGCTACAAACCCTCTTGAATGCTGATATTGGCAGAGGTGACACTCTTGGTAGCTTTTCCGCACTCAGAGGTTTGGCCCAGGAGAGTGGCCTTCTCTCTGGTGGCCCCTAAGCTGTGGAACTCCCTCCCTACAGAGATGTGATTGGCATCTTCATTATACAGCTTCATTTTGATAGTAGAAGTGAATATTTTTAGAACCCACTTTATTTTCATGATTGCAAATTGTTTTAAACAGTTCTTAATGTTATGCTTTAACATTGCAACACCTGCCCTTGCACCCTTATAGTGAAGGGCAGGTAATTAATAAATAAATAAGAATAACATTTGATCAGTTAAATCATTCATTAAGCATAGAGAATGGCTTGATGGCACAATTCCACTAAAGCTAAACAAGGAAGATGCTTTGCAAGGTGCTATGGTGGGAGACTCCCTAAGAGCCATATATAAGCCACTTGGAGTTACTTGTAGGAAGAATAAACAGATAATCAATGAATTGAATGATCAGCTAAAACCTTCAGGTTTCGTGACCAGTTCTTATTAATGCAGTGGGCATTTTGACAACTCGGGTATCTGCAAGAAGGCTTCTGTGTTGTCCCATGCTTACTCCTGCTAATTGTACTCGCAAGATATAACCATGGAAATTCTCTATACATAACAGGCAGAAGAAAAAGACCTGGGATTTGGCCCTGGTTTAATCGTGTATAGGTGTGGAAGAATTTTAAATGTAAGTGGGGGACACACAATATAGAGTCTTGTGGTTCCTATTAGGCGGAGATCCAGAAAGCCACTCTGCAGATAGTGATTGGAACCATACATGGGTTGACCACCTGCATTTTGATTTTTTCTTTCTTTTAGGCGCTAAAAGAGAGCTTTATAAAAGCCGTTGGTGTCGGGATAGGTTTTGACCTTCAGAGGATTGAGTTTAATGTATCCCCACTGCAACTGGAAGTGGGGAAAACGTATAACGAGACAGTTTTGCTCTTGGATGGCGAAGAAGAGAAGGAATGGAGTTTTGAGGTGAGGCTGCAACCTACAAACTTCTCCCTAAAGTTATACTATATACTGTCTTGAAATACCATAAGATGTTGGTGTAACGCTTAAATTGCCTACTCGTGAGCCCCTGCTTTCTTGAGATCCCTATTTGTGAGGGTGCAGGGGTAGGAGAAGAAAAGGAGCTTGCCTAGTCGGTGTTAGAATTCCTGCTCCGTGACTGCAGTCATGGAATTGTTGTCTATCACATGACGGTATATGTTTTGACTCCACAGAGTGGGAAGTGATGAAGACAGGATGTTTGTGTTACTGTGTTCCGTGAAGTGGGAGTATTGTCCTTTGTTCTTTTTCTCTTTGCTGTCTGATGCTAGAGACAGAGGGAGCCATGTTGCAGTGCTCCGTGTGTGTTTATATGTAAATAAAGTAGATTAGCCAAAATGCTGTGTTACTGAGGTCTATCATGCGAACTGCGCAGACTCTGCAGATCCCTAAGTGTGCTGATGTCTGTTGGCATTGGTCGCTGTGATGTATGGGCTGAAGAAAGCTTATGAAGCTCCCGAATGATTGACTAGGAGGTAGAGAACATGCCAGTCGGGCATGTGTCTCTGCCAGAGTCCTACTCGAGTGTAGGCTGAACTCCTGACAGTCGGTTGCATGGACAGTGTTTCTGGGTCCCCTCGAAAATCCATTGGCCCACAGGAGACCATCGTTTGTGCCTGATTGATTTTAAGGGCAGAGGGCAGACTCGAGGCAGAACTTCCTCCCTCAGGGAGATTTTTGTGTGCATTTTTTGGTGCCACCCTCTCCACCCACCAAAACCTCTCCTTTCCCCCCCCCCCCTTGGTATTTGTGCTGTGTCTCAAGGAGCAATCAAAACGACATTCACGTTTTGCCTTTAATGGCCAAATTTGCCCATGGCTTTCAGGAGCGATTGTGCTGTTGCTTTGTTGAACTCTCATAAAGAAATTTGCTGGTGTTTGCAGAGAAGAAGGAAAAAACCCACTTTGTCGACTAGCAATGCCGCACAACCTTATAATGCACCCAGTTGGAGCACCCGTAAAGCTTTTAACATCTGCAGTCTGGGGAGACCTCATGCCAATAGTGGCAGTAACTAACATTTAGACTCCTGTGTTTGCTTTTCGAAATGGGAAATGATGTTAATATTAAGTCACTGAGAAATAACCTCTTAACTTCACTTTGGGGAACTCAGTTTCTGCTTTGATAATGTATGAAAGGGGGGGATGGGATCAAGTATAGTAGGTAAAAAAGAGACTTCTTTTTTTACCACCCACAGCAAACAGAGTAGAAATTGTCAAAGCACTGGTCTTCAAGCTGATGAGTTAGGACCTCCCAGTAGGTCATGCACTGACAACTACTGGCTCCATTGCTGTTTTCTTTGTTTTCTGTTTCCTTTAAAATAGGGAGAAAGACAATCCAAATGATGGGGTGGAAGAGGGTTAAAGGGTAACCAAAGGGTAGGCTACTCTTCTGTGGTTGTGTAGAAGACAATGCATTAACAGCTGTGACTTTTTTCAGCACCGCTTGACAGATTTGCAGCTACCAAAATCCTCATTTCTGTGGACAGAGGGGCCTGGTGGAGTGGATTTTGCCCCTAGACAGGAGGTTCCACACCCCTTATTGCTTGCTGCAAATATGCTCTAGAGCAGATCCACCTTTGCAATATTGCACACGTGGAACAGGAAGTGTTACACAAGAGGGTTGACAGGCCAACGGGTTAATTTACCTAGGCTGTCACATCACCGGACTTCCTGAAACATGGAGCAACAATGGGGAAATGTAGGCAGTTTTTCCTGTCTGCACTATCTAATCTTTTACTCTCCTACATTTGCTTGCTATTGGTGTTGGTAGTTATTCGGTACACTTTCCCCCCTTTTGCCATCTAGGAAACACGGCTAGATGATTGTCACCATGTTGCAGTTGCTCTGGGGAAACCAGGAGTGTTTGGAGAGAAGCCTGCTGCGGTAAGATGTTCGGGTAATTTTCAGTATCAAGCAGAATTGTTAGTAGTTTTGTGATATTTTGTCTTCTGCCTTGAGATGGCTCTATGCTAAATAGCTGTTGAATTTTTAAATACACAATAGCACTCTTGACTGGAATACAATTCCAAGCAGCTGTTAATAAAAACCTAGAGTAGAAAATACCGTCCACCTGTATTCAGATCCTAGAATAAAGTAGAATACTTGGGATATGATATTGGAGATCATCTAGCCCAATCTGCTGCTCAGTCCAACAGTTCCTGGACCTGCTCTGCTCTGCCACCAGAAAACTCCATGGTGGGGCTCTCTGCTGGCTGCTGCTAGTAAAGAACTTGCTGGCAACATTTCCTCCCCCCTTCATTTTGGTGGGTGGAAGGGGGAGCTTCACAATAATATGAGAGCCTTATGGACCAGCCCAGTGGCCTGTCAGAGGTTCAGTCCCCGGCTTGATCACACAGTAAGCGTAGCTGATTAAAAAGGATGATTTTAATGTCAAAACAACAGATAGCTCCGGAGAGCTTAACACAGCTTCCGCCATCATCAATCAAGATGACCCTTCTGAAGATCCCTTCCGGTTACAGAAGATATTGAACTTTCTCACTTTGCTTGCTTTGTTTCCGGTCTAACAGCCCTCCCCTTAGCCGACTCTTAGGAGGGATTGGATCAGCTCCAATCTGTTCCCATTCTGACAAACTGCTTCCTTCTCTGTTCGTGCCAGTTTGCCCCTCCCAAGAGCGTTGTCTGGCTTCCTGCCAGCTCTCAGCCATTCCCTTATCTACTGGCATTCCAAGGAGTGGGGGAGTTGGTACTGTTGTTGTTGTCTAGTTATGTCCGACTCTTCGTGACCCCATGAACCAGAGCACGCCAGGCACTCCTGTCTTCTACTGCCTCCTGCAGTTTGGTCAAACTTATGCTGGTAGCTTCGAGAACACTATCCAACCATCTCGTCCTCTGTCGTCCCCTTCTCCTTGTGTCTTCTCTTCTCTTGATGTGGCCAAAGTACTGGAGCCTCAGCTTTAGGATCTGTCCTTCCAGTGAGCACTCAGGGCTGATTTCCTTCAGAATGGATAGGTTTGATCTTCTTGCAGTCCATGGGACTCTCAAGAGTCTCCTCCAGCACCAGAATTCAAAAGCATCAATTCTTCAGCGATCAGCCTTCTTGATGGTCCAGCTCTCACTTCCATACATCCCTACTGGGAAAACCATAGCTTTAACTATACAGACCTTTGGCACTTTGGAGTTGGCACTAGCCGATGCTCATTGTGCCTGGCAGTTAACCCTCTCTGTTCCTGGCTGATTTCTTCAATTGTCTGCAAACCTTCCCTGAGAGCTGGCTGCAACCATCACTGGGAGCTGGCTCATTCATGACATGGCCCTTCTAACCCAGCATCCTGTTCTCCCCGAGGCTCGCCAGATCTTGCGGTGAAGTGATGCTGGTGTCACTCTACAGATGTCTAGCAGGAGGTGGCGTAACCCAGCAGGTCTGGGCAGAGGGACACCTCCTCCCAACCAACCCCACTCGCCCCAGCCTGATGTGAAGGGTGTTTGCATTGTGCTGTTAATAGTAAACACATAAAAAACAACAGAAAAGGGAGACTTAAAAATCGATATCCCACAGCTGACTTGCGTGGTTTTTTAAAAAACTAGCAATCAAATGCAAAGTTGCTAGAAAGGCTATGGTGCAGTTTGGGAAAAATGCAAACTTTGATGAATAGTACCTTAATAGGACTATTACGCATGGCACGCGGGTGGCGCTGTGGGTTAAACCACAGAGCCTAGGACTTGCCGATCAGAAGGTCGGTGGTTCGAATCCCTGCGACGGGGTGAGCTCCCATTGCTCGGTCCCTGCTCCTGCCAACCTAGCAGTTTGAAAACACGTCAAAGTGCAAGTAGATAAATAGGTACCACTCTGGCAGGAAGGTAAATGGTGTTTCCGTGCGCTGCTCTGGTTCGCCAGAAGTGGCTTAGTCATGCTGGCCACAAGACCCGGAAGCTGTACATCGGCTCCCTCGGCCAGTAAAGCGAGATGAGCGCTGCAACCCCAGCGTCATCCGCGACTGGACCTAATGGTCAGGGGTCCCTTTACCTTTCCCTTTACCATAAAAATATTATACTAAGTTTCAGAAGAATTTGGTTAGAAACCTAGAAAAGGTGAGATCCAACGTGGCCCGAGTGGGCGTCTGCTTATGTAATGGGGTGCTTCTTTCCTCTTCTACCTCCGTGTGCCTCCAGAATATGCTCCAGAGGGCTGGGGAACCACCCAAAGCAGATTTTGGTGGTGCATGGGGGACTGGAACAAGGAAGAGAGAAACCAGAAGTCCTGTTATGTAAAACAGATTTCTGTTGCACAAGCAAGTGGGCATCATTGGATGTTGGCCAATGTGAAAATATTAAAGCGGTTAAAGAACCGGGGGGGGGGGGTAGCAAAAGCAGAATCAATCAACAATTATTTCAAATCAAATCAACTGAAGCAATTAATGTATAAATATCTGCTTTTCACAAAATCTATTAAAGGGAGCCATGAATCACAAATGTTTCCATATGCTTTCTCCCTCACACAACTGAATGTTCTCAGTTATTTTGGGCATTTCTTGATGTGATCACACAACAGCATGGATTCCGTTTTCTTCTCTCTCACTGAATCAGCATGCATATGCATTGGTGCATACATTATTATTATTATTATTATACTATTATTTAAATAAATAATATACTACCTTTCATCTAAAGAAGAAATACCAAGGCGGTTCACAATTGAATAAAAGCCAATAGCAAAATAACAAGAATAAACCCAGTTACAAAAATAAGACTACATTAAGACATCCATAATTAAAATATATAAAACTAAATCCGTTAAAACAGACATAGTAAATGCTTGTCTAAACTGGTGTGTCTTCAAGAGCTGGCGGAATGCCAATATTGATGGAGCTTCCCATATTTCAGCATATAAGATGGAGTGATGGACAGTTTTGTACCGAAAAGTACAGAAAACTGCACGTGGCAGTTTCAGGCAGGGAAGAATGTGGGGCAAAGCAGACTGACGAAATGATAATGGACCAAAATGGGGAAAGTCTGATCCCCTTCACCATGGTCCTTCAGATTCCAGAACCTTGGGGTTATGCTCAAATGTGAACATACTGGGTTGCCTTTCAAAATTAGAATTAGATCTATCTTTCTCTGCCTCTCCCGTCTGTAAAATAGGTGTGTGTGTGTTTTAATGTTACAAACAGGGAAAAATAATTACAACCTTGTTCTTCAATCATGGAAATACTGATCTGCATTTCTGTGAATTGAATTACCCTCCCCTTCTACTTCTCAGGTACTTTCTTCTGCTGCGACCCAGACTACATTTACAACACTGACTTTTGATGATTTAGTTGCCTCTGCTGTGCCTCTTGCACCTGAAGACCCTGCCTGCTGGGATAGCTTTTGTGCTAAGCAGGAATCGCCAACACGCCAGGGTTCCAATCCAAGATAAGAGAGGCTGCGTTTGCAAGAAGAGAAGCTGAAAGCACTCACAAAGGCCGCACACTGTTCTCCTTTCCAGCAGTTAATTTGTATGTTTGGTGGTCTGGGTGGTGGGAATGCTAAAATTGCCTTTTGTGTTCTAGTTTTTTGGCTGTTCCGTATCAAATGATTACATTTTTCATTGACCTTTTCCAGGAAGACTGGATTCAGAAGAGGAAAAACTGTTGGGTTTTCTGCTCTCTGGCTGAGTTCATATTATTATCAGCTGCTGAATCTTTGTATTTCATTTCTGCAAATACAATCAAGAGAGAGAAAGAAAGGAATGATGTTGGCCGACTTTAAAAATATTACATCAATCCTGATTTAAATGTTGTATTTTCCTATAGTGGAAGAGTTGGCGCATTTCTGTCTTTCCTCAAGTACCTTGTGTAATGTTTATCAGGAGGACTTCACGTGTGTGTCTCTTTATGCAATAACCTGATTAATGCAGTAGCACCACTACACCACCATTTGAAGACACAAATCATACAAACAGAACAATTATCCATTCAGCAGTACCTAAGAAGCCCCTGTGTAGTCATGGTAAGGACAAGGGCACATGGCCACCATCCCACCAAAGGGGAGGGCACACTTGTCCAGTAAAACATGAACCGGGTCTTTATTGTTTATTTTCCTGATAAGCCATTTGCCATTTCTGATTCCTAAAGTACTTGCAACGAGTAAGCCTGCAAAGTTAAAATGTGCATATGTAGAGTATTTGGCAAGAGATGCCTTGGTCAATGGAATAAAGCGGTACTAGGACAAAGGTCCAAATCGTTAAAGCTATGGTTTTCCCAGTAATGATGTATGGAAGTGAGAGCTGGACCATCAAGAAGGCTGATCGCCGAAGAATTGATGCTTTTGAATTAGGGTGCTGGAGGAGACTCTTGAGAGTCCCATGGACTGCAAGAAGATCAAACGTATCCATTCTTAAGGAAATCAGCCCTGAGTGCTCACTGGAAGGACAGATCGTGAAGCTGAGGCTCCAATACTTTGGCCACCTCTTGAGAAGAGAAGACTCCCTGGAAAGACCCTGATGTTGGGAAAGATGGAGGGCACAAGGAGAAGGGGACAACAGAGGACGAGATGGTTGGATAGTGTTCTTGAAGCTACCAGCATGAGTTTGACCAAACTGCGGGAGGCAGTGGAAGACAGGAGTGCCTGGCATGCTCTGGTCCATGGGGTCACGAAGAGGGTCACGACTGAACAACCACAAAGTGTGGAGACCCTACAAATTTTAAAAGGGCAAGGGAACGACCACCTAAGTGATAGGTGGATGATCCAAAACTAACAGCAGGGTTTTATGTGGAACACTACTAAACCTTAGGTTACGTAAATGCAATCCTGGTAACGACACACACAACATAACAGCCCGTTTTTGACTATGTAACTTCTATTTAAAACACAATTCAACATAGAATATCACACAAAGTGTAATTCCATAGATCAACACATCATGCAAACAGAATATATCAAGAAAATTAAAGTCCAATGTATGGTCAGGAGATAAAGTCCATTCGGTTCCTAAACTGGCATACTGGCAATAACCACAATATGGTATTCTTATCTTATGATGTTCCACATATTGCTGCTTTGAGGATTCTAACGTTCATTGTATGTAAATATTGAATCAGATGGAAAACGTGAAGGTATGGCACGGCAACGATTCTGGGATAATACCTTGTTTCGCCCAACCGGGCTTCATCAGCTGTACATATTCTAAATTAAACAAACATGATATAACATAATCCTTATGCAAACTAAGTAACATAACATACTAATTAAACAATAAGTTTATATACCATATTCTTGTATGACGGAAACATGGAACAGAATAAATTCAGTTAATCCAATCATTGGCCACAATCACAATCCTTTTTAGACAGAGAGGCAGTATAGATTCTAACACAGGTGGCTACAATTTCTGTAAATGTTGATGAAAAAGACCATATTTTCATGTTTAAAGAAATTAATGATGTACCTTTAAGAATTAACACATAATGACTCGTAGATGTGAGATGCTGTAGAAGATTTTCTTGCATCTTCACTCGCTACATGGCCGCTACCACACCGATGATGAGAAAACAAGCGGGGGAAAGATAGTAAACCTTCATTTTTAGTGCATGGCGATGGTAAAAATGTTACTGATCACCAAGAAAATAAGGGGTCTCTAGTGGCACTAAGAAGCTGAAATAAACACAAGGAGATAACAATGGTGGTGATACATAAATTATGAATGGAATAGGCAGGTTCTGCTCAAAGTTCGGATATATGAATAGCAATTCATATCCAAAGTTTGGATACGTGAATAGCAAGAGTTTTCTGTACTGGAACCCCTGACAGAAGCTGGGTTTACAAAAAATAAAATAAAAAATAGTTCTGCAATGCAGTACTTGAGCAGAAAGTGCAGCCTCACATGCTTATTTTGGCTTATAATGGACTGTATTTTTCCTGGTGCATTTTAACAATGATCAACATTTGTTCAAAGGTTTCGCCTCAGTGAACTGAAAATAGCACTCTCAAGGGAGCTATCCATATTGTATAGAATGCATTCGTTAATCATACGGTGTAAATATGAAAGCAAGGGGAGAAAATGTTCTCCAGTAACATTTGGTTCCCTGGAGTTGTTTTGTTTCTAGGTTGTAGGCAGTGCTGCTCTTGTCTGGGCTGGAAGTGGCACCCTGGAAGTCTCCAGTTCTGCAAGGCCAAGCCCGGGTTGGGTGGAAGTGCATGCAGCAAGCAGCAGTAGCTGGTGCAGTAGAGCTGCCCTCCTAAACACTGGCATCAAAGTAGTTTATCTGGACAGTGGCAGCATGGTCGAGGCTGAGTGGACACACTGGCAGAGCCAATCCAGCACTCCCACTGGTCCATCCACATAGCTGCATCGTTCCTGATCCAGGTAAGTTACAGTCAAACTAGTGACATTCCACCGCATCAGCTGCTACTGGCAGTTAGAGCAAATACTAAGCAGGAAGAGTCTGACCAGGTCCTATAACTGACACCTCCAGTTAAAAGGGTCGGATACATGATGTGGATGTTGGGATGCGTCATGGGAGACGTGGGCAATTGGCAGGCCCCCATCTGGCTCCAGCCTACCGGCCGGCAGCCACACAAACTTCGGTTCTCGGAATAGCATCAAAACTGTGATTCAAGCCTCAGAAACCTTTAGAGACTGAGCACACAAGCCAGCAGAGATAAGAACTCTTTGCAACGGAAGAACGGACAGAGGCATATGTAAGCATATTTACAAGCATTTTATTCAGCATCAGGACAAAGGAAAAACATGTCTGCTCCCCTTCGTGTTCAAGCAAAAGCATAAGCGAAAGCTATACGCAGCGGAAGTTCCCAGCAGGCCGTGCTGGAAGTAAACAGACATGTGACATACAACAATCCACACATCTGTTTTAAGGTGGAACGGAACATCATAATCCTAACAGTGGAAAGCCCCTTCAGAGCCACAAAGTAGACCAGCTTTCTCCAACCTGTGAGCACCTAGAAAGGAATGCTATGATCACCAATAGCATGGATTTCTGAAAAATAAGTCATGTCAGACTAACCTGATCTTGTTTTTTGACAGAATTACAAGCCTGGTAGATGAAGGGAATGCAGTGGATGTAGCCTACCTTGATTTCAGCAAGGCATTTGACAAGGTGCCCCATGATATTCTTGTAAAGAAGCTGGTAAAATGCGGTCTTGACTATGCTACCACTCAGTGGATTTGTAACTGGCTGACTGACCAAACCCAAAGGGTGCTCATCAATGGTTCCTCTTCATCCTGGAGAAGAGTGACTAGTGGGGTGCCACAGGGTTCTGTCTTGGGCCCGGTCTTATTCAACATCTTTATCAACGACTTGGATGATGGACTCAAGGGCATCCTGATGAAATTTGCAGATGACACCAAATTGGGAGGGGTGGCTAACACCCCAGAGGACAGGATCACACTTCAAAACGACCTAGACAGATTAGAGAACTGGGCCAAAACAAACAAGATGAATTTTAACAGGGAGAAATGTAAAGTATTGCACTTGGGCAAAAAAAATGAGAGGCACAAATACGAGATGGGTGACACCTGGCTTGAGAGCAGTACATGTGAAAAGGATCTAGGAGTCTTGGTTGACCACAAACTTGACATGAGCCAACAGTGTGACGCGGCAGCTCAAAAAAGCCAATGCAATTCTGGGCTGCATCAATAGGAGTATAGCATCTAGATCAAGGGAAGTAATAGTGCCACTGTATTCTGCTCTGGTCAGACCTCACCTGGAGTACTGTGTCCAGTTCTGGGCACCACAGTTCAAGAAGGACACTGACAAACTGGAACGTGTCCAGAGGAGGGCAACCAAAATGGTCAAAGGCCTGGAAACGATGCCTTATGAGGAACGGCTAAGGGAGCTGGGCATGTTTAGCCTGGAGAAGAGGAGGTTAAGGGGTGATATGATAGCCATGTTCAAATATATAAAAGGATGTCACATAGAGGAGGGAGAAAGGTTGTTTTCTGCTGCTCCAGAGAAGCGGACACGGAGCAATGGATCCAAACTACAAGAAGGAAGATTCCACCTAAACATTAGGAAGAACTTCCTGACAGTAAGAGCTGTTCGACAGTGGAATTTGCTGCCAAGGAGTGTGGTGGAGTCTCCTTCTTTGGAGGTCTTTAAGCAGAGGCTTGACAACCATATGTCAGGAGTGCTCTGATGGCGTTTCCTGCTTGGCAGGGGGTTGGACTCGATGGCCCTTGTGGTCTCTTCCAACTCTATGATTCTATGATTCTAACCTGCTGCCCTTCATATGTTGTTGGACTCCCAAATCCCATCAGCCACAGGCTGCATGGTCAATGGTTAGGGTTGATGGGGGTTGTGATCCATCAGCATCTGAAGAGACATCATGTTTGGAAGGCTGGAGTCGACAATACTGGGCTAAATGGGCAAATAGCCCGAGCTCGAATGTGGCAGCAACTGTCTGGTCTTTTTAGCTTCAGCACCCTGGACAGATCACAAAGAGCGGATGATTTGTTCAGCAAGTCCAACTGAACTTGCCAGGTAGGTTAGGCTGAGAGGTGGTGGCTGGTCCAATGACACCTAGTGAACTACATGGCTTGAGTGAGGATTTGAACACAGGCCTCTCAGGTCTTAGTCCAACACTCTAACCGTCACACCAAACTGACTTTCATGAGAATGTCTTCCTTACCAGGATTTCAAGTTAGCTATTTTTGTTTTCATTATTGCTGCCACGGTTCTTGGAAAATCCTTAAGAAGTCCCTCTCCTGCTGCACACAATGAAGGTACTTGTTTAAAAGCACAAAGCACTCGAGTTTTAAATCTCGCATTGTACTCTAGAGCAGCCAAGCTGGATGATTCAATAACTCTAAATTCAAGACTGCACAAAGGTACAACAGCCTTCATGAAATCTCTCAGTTTTACAATTCAGTGGAACCTCATTTATTCACAGTGAAGCATCACACTTCTCTGAGGAAGCGACTTTTAGCACATTCCGCTAATTGACATCATACCCTTAATGGCACCACATTGATTACCCAATACTAAGGGATGAAAACATTGGAACTTCTATGGAAAGAGGTGGAAAATTTTATTTATGGAATATTTAAAAACTCTTTAGCTTTCCTCAACTTTTTAGTGGAACTGAACCATAGCACTGGTTTGAGCAGGGGAATCCTGGGGTTCTGTTGCAGCTGCTTTCTATCTTTGATAGAATATAATAGCACTGTATGTGGATTCAGGACTTACTTGTGAGTAATAACTAGGTCTTTATTCAGGCAAGCAATGGTACAGGCTGGGCTGCAGACACTGCTCAGAAGTCATGATTCAGGATTTCATATAAGGGTATGAAGTTCAGATAAGACAGAAGCAACAAAGATGTCCCAACAAGTTTTCCCACCCCTCCCACCAGCTTTAAAGATGCTATTGTGAGTTGTCACCCACCACAAAGTAAAGTTGGAATTAGTTTTTAGGAAGCTTTGTTGCAATGTGAGCTGGGAGATGGGGTAGGGGTTAGAATTTATCTGCAAACATTTGCCTCCTGACTTTTAATGCAATATATGGTAGTGAGAACCACAAATATAACTGCTAATATTCTCATTTGCATTTAGATAAACATTATAAATACTGTTTAGGTAATAAGGGTTCTCAGGCTTCCTAAATGGATGCTAATAGTAAAAACAAATTTCAGCTTACCTGAAATTAGCTGTTTATTTCTATGCATGATTAACTCGCTGACAGACATTTTGTCATTTCAATTACCATACCAGCCACGCTTGGAAACGTAATATCACAACAGCACAATTCATGTGGAGCAGATTAAAGAAAAGGAAGGATTGTAAAAATTTCACTTGATCTTCATCTTTTCTGATTGCGTAGTCAGAGTAAAGAGGAGGAAGCTAAAAGCCAGGACCACCCACTCGACTGATTGTAAGAAGGCAAGAAGATAGTATCTGAACAGAGCCTGACTTTCTCATCACGTGTTGTTGTTGTTGCTTAGTTGTTTAGTCGTGTACGACTCTTCGTGACCCCATGGACCAGAGCACGCCAGGCACTCCTGTCTTCCACTGCCTCCCGCAGTTTGGTCAAACTCATGCTGGTAGCTTCAAGAACACTGTCCAACCATCTCGTCCTCTGTCGTCCCCTTCTCCTTGTGCCCCCAATCTTTCCCAACATCAGGGTCTTTTCCAGGAAGTCTTCTCTTCTCATGAGGTGGCCAAAGTATTGGAGCCTCAGCTTCACAATCTGTCCTTCCAGTGAGCACTCAGGGCTGATTTCCTTAGGAACCTGCAAGCCACTTCAGTATCCCTGCCAAGAAAACTCCATGGACAAAGACAACAGGCATCACCTGTTACCTGTTTTTAAAAAGAACTAACTCTGGATATACTCACGATTGAACCTGGACAATCTGCTTACAAAGGATGTGCATTACCACTAAGCTGCAGTCCTTTAGCTTGAGCTATGGTGCCTCTCTTGGCTGAGCTGTTTGGGTAGAACTGACATCCAAGGTTAGCATCTAGCCTTGAGTGAACCCAGAATCTATTGCATGGGTAGGCAAACTAAGACCCAGTGGCCGGATCTGGCCCAATCACCTTCTAAATCTGGCCCGCAGACGGTCCAGGAATCAGTGTGTTTTTACATGATTAGAATGTGTCCTTTTACTTAAAATGCATCTCTGGGTTATTTGTGGGACATAGGAATTCGTTCATTCCCACCCCCCAAAAAATAT